TGCATTTCTCTTTATCTGAAATCCTTCTCGTTTTCCCTCCCTCTGTTTCGAGTCAAACTTTCTTCTTGCTGCCCGTCCAATGCGTTGGCTTAAAATTGAGGCTGTTGCAGCCCTCGCTGCCTCGGCTGTACCCGCATCCTGCTTATCAGTGCCCGTTGCCTGTGATCTCGGAGGCATCTGTCCACGCGGAGATGCTGACTTGAAGGAGCTGGGAGAGAAGCTCTCGAGTACCGGCAAGATCTACTTTCCAGGGTCAACTGAGTTCGACCAGGCGTCCACACGGTGGTCTGTTCTGGATGCTCCCAAAGTCAATGTCGTCGTAGTTCCAGGAACGGAGAACGATGTCGCTGAGACGGTGTGTTGTCCTTGCCTCTACTATTTTCTCTCTCAATTTTTTCCCATTGATAAAAGTATGGATCGCTAACTGGTGAATAGGTGAAATACGCCAACAAGAAAAACTTGCCCTTCCTGGCGTACAATGGCGTGCATGGAGCCATTACCACCCTGGGCAGGATGGACCATGGCATCGAGATCTACCTGAACCAGCTGAGCAGCGTGGAAATCTCCAAGGATGGGAAAACAGCCAAGATCGGGGGCGGCACCATCTCCAAAACCGTCACCGATCAGCTCTGGGCGGCGGGAAAGCAGACGGTGACGGGAACATGCGAATGCGTCAGCTATCTGGGACCTGCCCTTGGAGGCGGACATGGATGGCTTCAGGGACACCATGGACTGGTCGCCGATCAGTTTGTATCAGCCAATATCGTCCTGGCCAACGGCAGCTTGAAGACGGTTGACGCAAGATCCGACCTCTGGTGGGCTCTGAATGGAGCGGGTCACAACTTTGGCATTGTGACCTCTGTGACCACCAAGATCTACGATATCCAGCACGCCGACTGGGCAATCGACACGCTCATCTTCAGCGGGGATAAAGTCGAGGCCGTCTACCAGGCTGCCAACGAGCACCTCCTTAAGAACGGCTCTCAGCCCGTGGATCTCATCAACTGGTCGTACTGGCTCAACATCCCCACCGCTGACCCGAACAACGTAAGTATAATACCTATCTACAAGTTGTTGTTGCCCTTGTCTCACAACCCCCTAGCCTGTTATCCTATTCTACATCATCCAGGAAGGCGTCAAGACAGTCGACCCAGCCTACACAAAGCCCTTCCACGATATCGGCCCGCTATCCGCTGAATCGATCGGAGGAAGCTACACTGACCTCGCCGGATGGACCGGCATCGCCACGACCTCTCCGCCATGCCAAAAAGCCGGTCTCGTCAATCCCCGCTTCCCAATCTATCTCGAAGGGTACAACGTCCCCGCCCAGAAGAAGGCATACGACATCTTCGCCGCCGCCACCCGCGGGTCCTCGGCGTTCAACAACTCCATCTTCATGTTCGAGGGCTACTCCATGCAAGGTGTCCGGGCCATTAACAGCCAGTCCAGTGCCTTTGCTTTCCGGAATGAGAACCTCCTTGCCGCGCCGCTGATCACCTACGCGCCTGCCGGGCCAGAGCGCGATAATGACGCCGCGCAGCTGGGCAACCAGCTTCGTCAGATCCTCTTCCAGGCTAGTGGGCTCAAGGAGATTGGCGCGTATGTCAACTATGCCTATGGGGATGAGACGCCGCGGCAGTGGTACGGCAGCGAACAGTGGCGTCAGGATCGTCTGCAGGCTTTGAAGAAGAAGTATGACCCGGCAGGCAAGTTTAGCTTTTTTGGTCCAATCGCGTAGGGCGATCATGACGAGGTTGTTCTGGAATCATTGTACAGCCTATAGGCAGACCCCTACACGTTGAGTATAGTAATAAATGAAGCAGTGCTTCAGTGGATAGATACCAACAATGTAAAGTAGATTAGTGCAGTTCTCTCGAGACCAAATATCCGGACTAAGTATAAAATAAGCTCTCAACAACCAGTGACTTCTAATGCATGCTGAAGTCTGTAATCTGCACTTCTACTCATGTTCTAGCTCAAAGACCCTCGCTGCTTCAGTCAGCCGAATCAGCCCACACGTTCGCCTTCTGCGGGGACATCAATATTCCTCTCGGAGCATCTTATCTAGTGGGCTGCTCAACCGGACGATGGCTGTTGAGCATCGGCACGGTGAAACCTGACGTTACTTTCGAATCTACCTGCAGTCTAATGAAGGAAATCCTCACTTTGCAAGCTTCTTGGTAGTATTGCTACAGAATCTCACTGACCAGTAGCTATATGTACTGGAAAAGGGACAGTAGTAAGGTGGTACTCATGTTAATGTTGAACATCGGAGGCCTGCACCATTCTAATCTAACTGACAGAGAAGAAGCTCTATTTCATTGCACGGATCCCGTAGTTCTTGGGCAATGGAGCATCCTCCCAACTTCCGGAGATTGTCATGCCGACTTCAGCTTTGCCACGGTTAGGCCCACCTGTGTGTATGTCATCCAAGCATATTGCGCCACATCTCCAGCACTCGTCGCAGATATCAGATTGGTCGCCGTAGCATACCCTGCAGTGGTAAGCAGATTCGCGGAAAGCCCAGGCTCGACATATATCACAGATTACGTCGCCACGAGGCTTATCACTAGCATCGAAAGAATGCCAGGCGGGATCGTCCCCGCGGCCCTGTGATAAAAGCTTTGCGATGCGAGGTTGGTTTCTTGCAGAGGCTTCCATGAGTGCTGTACGGCCAAAGACATCAGTTGCATCTCGGTCGATATTTGGAGCCTCAAGTAAAGCTGCCACGATATTTTCCTGTCCAAGGACAGTGGCGCCCATTAAGGGCGTGCGGCCATACTTGTCCTTTTTATTGGGATCAGTTCCTGCCTTCAAAAGCAGCTTCACAAGAGGTTTTGCGTTGTAACGGCGTTCCAGCAACAAGTGTAGAGGTCCTCGCCCGTTTCCATCAGCGGTGTTTGGATCTGCGCCATGATGAAGCAACAATTTGACCACTGCCTCCATGCCGCCAACTGAAACAGCATGGCGCACCCTAAGCCCTCGCCCTCTTCTTACGGGTACCCTTTTCGTTACTGTCATCTTGCCTTGCCCAAGGGCCCAAAGCAGCGGTGATTGGTTTGAATCGTCAAAACAATTCACATTTGCACCCTTGTCAATAAGCATTTTCACGATCGGCCCAAATCCTTGAATAGCCGCCCATAAGATGGGTCTTTGTCCCAATCCGTCTTGGTGGTCTGGTCTGGCACCCCAATCAAGCAAGACCTTGACGATTCTCTTATGTCCATTTGCCGCAGCGAAAAAAAAGCGGTGTTTGGCCACACTCTGTAGTGTTTGGATTAGCACCACGTTGAAGCAAAATTTGTGCGATAGACAACTGCCCCCGGTCGACCGCAGAGAATAATGGCGTCCAGCCGTGTTCATCCTCAGCGTTCAAATCAATCTGTCCCACTGTATGTGGGCTGATCCCCTCCTCTAAAAGGAAGTGGATACATTCAATATGCCCACCGGATATTGCGCGAAACAACGCCAACTCTGCCACCTGTTGACTAATGCTTTGTTTCGAAAAAAGCATTTTCATCATTGCAATGTCTCCCTTTTCAGCCGCACGCAAAATCATGGACCGTAGTTGTGAAGTCGCAGCTGATGGATCGACTAAGTCGTCGAGCAGCAGCTCGGCGATAAGTGTGTTTCCGGATTCAACAGCTTCTATGAAAATATCTGTGCGACTCTTTTTTTGGATCTCTATGCTCACTCCAGCCCTGAGAAGCCTCGTAACTAGGTCAATGTAGCGTCCCCTTACAGCCCAAAGGAACGGGGTTGCTTCCCCTTTTCTCCATAAATGTCTGAAATGTGTGCTGCCTTGGTATATCAGACGCTCCAGAAAGATAAGGATTTGCTCATCATCAAATTCCTGAACACGAGACTTCCATATGTGGCGCGCAGCCTCGCAACAAGCATTCTGCAAACGAGGTGGCATGTGAAGACGATCAATTGGAGAAGACCATAGAACCTCCCATGACTCAAATTGTGACTTTGATTGGAAAGTTGGGTTGTATCGAGGATTGGGATCAGCTCCCTTTTCGAGGAGAAGGGTCATCACAGAACTGTAATCCAGTCCTCTTTTGCTGGGCCGGGAAGGGATATCGAGAAGGCAGCCGGCTGCGTATATCAAAGGTGACTCCGTGATGAGGTTTCTCGGATCTGGGGTGGCACCGGCCTCTATTAAAAAGTTGGCAACTGCTGTCCGCCCAGATCGGGCTGCGAAGAAAAGCGCTGTCTCCTGCAATGCATTTCGATGATCAATTTGTGCGCCCTTCTCCAACAACAATCTGACGACCTCTTCACTCCCACTTGACGCAGCATAGAAAAGCGGAGTATTCCCAGCAATATCTTGAGCGTGGACATCCGATCCCGCATCAAGTAGAAGATTGACAACAGAGACATGTCCTTTTCTCACAGCACAAAACAATGCAGTCTGAAAGGCCTCGTTGCAGATATGTGGATCTGCTTTATTGTGCAGAAGAGTGTTGATTAGGTCTCCATGCCCCTCTTCTGCTGCCCGGAATAATGCTGTCTCCCCACCCTTACCTGGGATATTTGGGTCGGCTCCCATATCAAGTAAGAGTCTCACCACACCCAGAGATCCATGTTTAGTGGAGATTGAGAGAGGGGTCTCCAAAGAACTGTCCTGTATGTTTGGATTGGCGCCATGGTGAAGTAACTCATGGATGATTTCCTCATTGCTTTTTGCCGAGTCGCATGCCATCATAAGCACGCTCTGTCCGTAATGATTTTGCATGTTGACATCAGCGCCAGCCTCGATAAGCTTCTCTGTTATTCCAAGAAACCCTTCTTCTACAGCGTATGCAAGGGGGGTGGCGCCAAAACGGCCTTTGGGGTCAACCCGGACTCCTCTTTCAAGAAGTAGCTTTACTAGCTCTTCATCATTAGTGCGTGCTACTGCTGATAGAATCGTGGTCCCGCCATCATTAGGGAAGTTGGGATCTGCTCCCCTTTCCAGGAGAAATAGAACAGCATCCGTATTTCCCGAACACCAGGCGTTCATTAGAGGAGTACCATCGTATTCACTACAAGACGGGCACCGTTGATTGATTTGAGCGCCGTGATCAAGTAGAAGCCGCATCATCTCAATATCCCCAGACACAGCAGCAGCACCTAATGCATTGTAACCAAATCTATCCTTATGATCTGGGCATGCCCCGTATTGAAGGAGAACGTGGACTACCTCTTTATAGTCCCCAGAAGCTGCATGTAATAGAGGTGTTCGGCCGTCCGTATCCTTCGAGTCAGGATCGACACGCTTTGATTCGAGAAGAACTCTGGTAGTGTCAAGATGGCCGGCTTTAGCAGCATAGGCAAGCGGCGTTCCGCCCTCGGCGTCTCGAATGTCCACCTCCTCATTTCGACGTATATACTCGGTAATGATGCTGGTTAAACCGCCACTAGCTGCGATATGTACCTTTGTCAATCGACGCGGAATAAAGTCTAGCCAATCGCTAGCCAAGTCCAGTCTATCACCTAGGACAGAATGGACCATCATAACTTGCCCAGCCGCATGCAAATTTGATTCTTTCTCCAAAAATGTAACGATATGCGTCATCAATTCTTTCGATGTACCTAGAGCCGCTGAGGCATGTACTGCCCAATACTTCGCACAGTAATGATGAAGAGGATAAAGCTGTTGCCGGCGCTTATAATCAATACGGGTTGTAGAGCATCCGCTGGAGAAAGCCGCGAAGGAAAGATATGTGATGGATGTCTGGGCAATTTCTGCTTCTGAATTGCATAAAGCAGGGTGCCCCAAGAGATACTCCTTCGTTGTGTAGTGAGTCAAGCGAATTAGTCCGGTGTTTTGATCGAGAACCACCAAGCCCGCGCAGACGGAATCAATAATGTCAATATCCGGCAAGAGGTTCCGGTCCAAATCGCTCTGGCCAGACCGAGTCCCAAGCGCATGTTGAAGCTCTTTGGCAAAGAGCGCCCGCTTGCAGTACGTCAACCAAGACAGAACTTTGACTGTCATTTGATAACACGGTTCAGATTGGGATTCAATTCTGCCAATTGCGTGATCATAGGCTTTCCCCAGTCCGGTCCTCCCACGGGGTAAGTGAGCGAGAGCTTCTTCGAGGTCACCCACTGTAAGATATCCCTTCAAGTGGTCCATGTGTAATGTTGCGAGTAAGAACCTAGATCAAAGTTCGGTTGCGGTCAGATAAATAATCTAATGGGGCAGGGGCTTTAGTAGCTTACATCCCATCTGCGCTCTTCACAACCTCACGACGAACCTCGTCTTGAACACTGGGATACCGCGAGATCTTTGACCGGAGTAAGGTAGGTAACGTTGTGTTTACGTATCTTAAGATATCGTCGTCTTGCGCGCGAATTTCCCTTTGGATGCATCCCTCGAACTGTGACATAATCTCCGAGTTAGGACGAGAGGTTGCGAAGATATTTACCGGCCCATCTTTCTGAAACGTGAATAAGGCCGAGAGTAAGTCCTGCAGCTCTTTTGGGTTTGAAGAACAGTATTCATCCAAGGCATCGATCACGATGAAGATTCTCCGAAATGACCGCGCGGTTCGTGATAGCTCGGGCAGGATATGCTTGACACTCGGGCGTGTTTTATTGCCTGTGTGGCTTTTGTACATCTGGTCAATGTTTGGGAGGACGGATGAGCCTTTTATTGCAAGTTGTCTGAGAAGACTTAGTAGGAAATCGAGTGTAGCTTGTTGGAAGCTTGGTTGATAACTGCAAAACAAGCACGCAATGCGTATTTCTGGATCACCCAGAAACTTTGTTCTTAGGTGTTCTACTACAATCGAGGACAGGATCGTCTTTCCAGCTCCTGGGATTCCGGGGCAGAACAGTGTTTGTTGAGGTTGGCTGATCCACTGGTTGAATTCCTCCGACTGTAGGAGCCAGAGACCTGTCCCTTCGAGCCTTGACTTTAAGTTGTCGTTATGCTGACGGTCAAAGTCTAACTCGGTGATCCAATCGAGAATACGTCGAGAATGTTCGGTCATGACAAATTCTTTGATTTCGGCCACATCGTCACGGACTAGATTTATCGTCATCTTACAGGTCATATATAAGGACTCATCCGTGCAAATTCACGCTCTAGCTTGGAAGTAATACAGACCTTGATACAGGATATCTTTAGCTGCAGGCTCGGCCTCAATAGCCTTGGGCTGTACATGTTCCAGAAACTCCTTTGCGCAAGCAGCGGCTGTAGCAGCGGCAAATGGCTGCCATCGGTCATTCTTATGGGAATCGGCGTAATCTGAGATGCCACGGATGACAATACAAGGGAAATTATTCATCAACCCTGCTGCCTCCATCTCTAGGCATATCGCACCATGTCTGTCCCGAATCGAGTCTCGTATAAGTGCGTCTTTGATGACCGTATTACCGGATGCGATGGTTCCATAATGGATCACAGGGCTCTCGTCCAGTCGTGGTTCGCGGCTAATCTCCGCTGAGGGATCACATTTGGCGCAGGATTTGCCAGTAGCATGGAGATAGCTGGGTCGAAACAAGCGATCAGCCGAATGGCCGGGGTGAGAGTATCCCTTGCTGCGCATAAGCGGAAATTTCCCCAGCATTTGCTCGATATAGTACGCTATCTTGTTTTCTTGCATCAGGTGCTCTGTTTGGAGCTTTCCAAGAGCAGAGCCCAAGGACCTCGGAGGGCTGTTCAATACAGAAAGGCTCTCGAAGGACCCATCTGCAAGTGCCTTTCCAAAGTCATAGACAACTACTCCTCCAGCTTGGGGGCTGCTGCTTATGACAATGTCTCCCAGGCGGATATCGACATCATTGGCGTAGTCCGGTATACCTGCGCCAATACCAACAAGGAGACCGACGCGAATCCTCGGAAACGTGAAGAGCATCTCTTTGGCAACTGCTGCTGCCGAGGAGGAACCGAGTTGGTGTATAGGTAGACGGGCCGCGACGACCTTGAACCTTCCCATGGATCCCAAGATGTACGAGTTGTTGTCCGCATCAGCTGGTGGAGTTTGTGGCTCCCCATGTACCTCATCCATCATACCCTTTGCCGCCGCTAGCTCGACCGCCAGAGCGCAGATCCATCCAACTGTGTATTCTTCGTTGGGGAAGGGAGACCGCGCTGGAGTCGCCATCGCTTTGAGAGCTCGACATAAAGTGCTCTTGGTACACGGAGCTCACAGATCGCGATAGGGCTTGGTGCAGCCTCCGACAGACAGATCTTTGATGTCTACCACTTTATTCTCAGCATTCAGCCGCACCAGCATTTTAAGACTTTGACTCTTGAGGCGGAGTTCCACATGTGACTGTTGGGCACCTATCAGATCCTTGTTGTACTTTGTAGTGCCAGAATCTGACTGGTGCGGGTAGCAGGCTGTCATTGGGGTATTTTTAGTGAAGCTGGAGGTAATCCTAGCAGTCATATAGATCAACCACCAATGAGCATGTTCATGCAAGCGCTGGTAGCTTCAACAGAAATAAAGGCCTTCCCCTTGAAGTTTGATCTTGCTCTGGCAGCAAGTGTTCGGACCACAAATATTGATACTGGTATGTTCTGGCCTGCTATCAAAGGCTCGCATATCTTAGCCACTGTTGGATATGGGGCTCTATGCCCTTTAGCATCTTAATATTGTTGTAAGATCTTAAGTCTGCTCTGTTATACCAGGACTTATACTAATGCTTAATTAGCTTTCATAAAATACTAAAGTTATTTATAGTACTACCCTTTTTACTAGAAGAGGAATGGCCTTAGATCCTATAAGCTCTAAAACTTAATAAGTAGACCTATTTATACTGTCCAAAACCCTGTTAGCTTTGGCTCAGCAAGCTATTGTCATATCAAGTACTAGGTGTCTCGGCCTTAGTACCTGAGACGCCATGTATAACAGTCATTAGACTTCACTATTATAGATAGCTAACCAGGGAGGCACCACTAAAACTAAAAAGCACTTAGTGAGAAATAGCATACTGCATAACTACCCTACTTATATCCATGACTAATAGCACCATTAAATGCATCCTTTAGCTAGCTAGTTATCTTTGGCCATCCCATTGCTCTGGGCCCATCAGAGAGGTCATCAATATGGGCATTCCATAAGATAAACAATGGTCAGAACAGTAGACTCAGACCAGCCATTTTTTACTCTAGCCTTTACAATCTGGTCAGTGCTGGTAGCTGTGTAGGTTTGCCCTCCTACGCACACAGTGCATATATAGCGCAGTCAGAGTGTCTTGTGGAACAAAGCTATCACAAGCATAAATCAACAAAGCCTTCTTATATGACTAGGTTTACTTGAACCCCCAATGTTACAACTGGCTTATCGCACGAGTATCCTGGGTGGTAGTGCTTCAACCAGTTACTAGTTATTGGCTTTTCGTGTTCTGTGTTATATCAGGCCAAGTAGTCATATGGTGAGTAAGTGACTGCATTATCACAGCCCATGATTGTAAGCTTTCATACAATCAACTGTGTGAGGTGGTTAGGGCTGCTTGGGATGCAATCCCTCCGTCCTTCCTAGATAAGCAGATTGATCTGATAGAGGCGCGCTGCCAGCTGTGATTAACGCGCAGGGAGGCCATATCTCCTACTAGTTGCTGTGTTACTTTTGATGCTTGCAGTGCTTTAATTATAGTAAATCTTTGCGAAAATCGCACTGCCAGAGCTTCGTGAACCTTGACCTTCTCATCACTAAACATAGGCCACGGCGCAAGAAAAGGAGTCACAGAGAAAAAGACCAATCTGGTGAATGCTCAGGGACGAACTTCTCATCAACGTCCTCCTTTGTTGCTAAGCTCCACCATGTGAAAAGTCTGCTGGACGGAGACGAGTTTTCGAATCCCTGCGGCAGATCATCAAAAACAGAACTGTCCGGACATAATCTATCTCTTGGCCGGTTGATCAACCCAATTAGATACAGTCGCCAGCTATCCCATATCGGGATTCCAAGGCGTCGAAACGCTCGGAAATTCAGATATTGCAGACGATGATTGATGAGAGACCGATGAACACCGAAAAGGGTGCGATAACTGCCTATAGCACCATTTTGTCTTCCGGCGCGCCAATAAATCTGTTTCCAGTCTTGATCCGCGGCTGGATTCTTTGGAGGGGTGGGTAAGATTAAACGTGCCGGAGCAGTCGACGGCGATTTTTCTAACGAAGGAATGGTCACCAGGAAAGGGAAACGGCGGTCGAGGGTTATTGTCTCGCCAGGGTAGATGACACTCAAGCACTCTGCGATCGTTTTGAGTTCTTCGAGACGCCATTTTTCCCAGCATTCTTTGACATATCGCTCGGTGAAAGAGGTTTTGTCCTCCGGAGACCAGTCCCATCGTGTGTTTTCCGCTTGCAAAACGCGACTGAATGTCGCAAGCGTCCATAGAATGCGATGTGTTCGATATGTTTCAGCCCAGGAAGGAGGATGATACTTCATCCGGATGGGTTCGCTTCGGGGCTCGGATGATCTTCCCGCTATCCAGTCCGCGGCTTTGCTGGAAGAGCCAACCACACAGCGAGGCTCTGCAACCATAAGACGATCTAAAAGAAGATGAATGCAAGCAGAAGCAGCGTGACAGATACTCGCCGCTATACTGATGGCTTTTCGCACGGCTCCGAAAGAATGGTCAGGAGGCAGAGAAAGCGGCACAACAGATGTGGTGAACGCGCCATCTAGTAGCTCTGGTAGGCTCAAGGGAGTAAATATTGCATCTGATTCGAGGAGGACGATGTTGCGAAATTCGTACTGTAGCCCATGGGAGATGATTGGACAATTCTTCATGACCCGCTCAGTGATTGTCTTGTAATACACGTCAAACACTTGATCTGCTCGGGCGGATGTTCTGAGCAAGCCATCTAAGCTAGCAAAGTCGGTACAAAATCCAAGGATGGACACTATTACTTCAGGTGGGAATATTGAGAAGGGATCCATGCTGAGACTAGAAATCAGAGAGAGGTCCGCTTGCGTGAGTGATCGCGGAGAAAGCGGGAGAGATAGGTCCAATTTGAACCAAAATTCTGGGCCCCCGGGGTGAGGGGGTGGTTGCGAGCCTAAGGCACGGATACGCAGGAACCTGGCCCTCTTTAACCATTAATATATGACTATCACGGAGCATCTCAGTTAGTTAATTCTAGCAAGTTTTGCCTTGGTTCTGGGTATATTCTGAGTATTGCTTATATCTACTCACCTTGCCTGCCTTACCTACCTATCACCCATGCTGTCTTGCACTAGAATTATATTCTGTAAGCTCTGTGATAGTAGCAGCCATGGCAGCAAGCCTGCGCTATTAGCACTAGCTATAATAGTAGAGAGTAAAAGTGTTAACCCACCCCTGCATACCATCTATATAAGTAACTAGAGGCAGTCACCTACTAAGCTTAGACTGGCTGACCCAATCCGCAAATCCATATCCAACCCACCCAATCCGCACTTTGGGTTGGATGGGGGTCAATCCTGATCTAACCTACATAGATATAGGTAGATAGCATCCAACCCATATGGATATAGGTAACCTTTTAGGTGCATGTAACTAGCAGAATTATAGATATTCATGATATTCTCTTAATAAGGGATCTTTCCACCTACTTAAAGTAGTATAGACTAGATTCTTAGGTCCCTCCGCCTACCAAAAGTAGTATGGTCTAAGATTATATATTAATATAGGTAGAATAGGTATCCACAACCCAACCCATATAGATTTTAAGGTGGGTTACTAATATCATGGGTTAACCTAAAATCCATGTGGGTTGGATTGAACCCCCTGCAGATCCATCCAAACCCAACCCACGACCAGTCTGCCTAAGGCTGATTAAGTGAATTAACATACTACATAGTATCTATAATCAGAGACACCTTATTAAGGGAACTTAGTATATTATAGTTTAAGCTCTTAGGCAAGAAGTCAAACTGTGCAAACAAAGGAAAGAGATATATATAGAGAAAGGAAGAGCAAGACATCGTCTTGCAGGCCGGTACATGGTGCTTAAGCAGCCCTAGAGCTGGTCATGGTGTTAAATCAATGCTGTGCTATGTTATTTCCCCAACAGCCTAGGCGCCGCATACTAGACTGTCTTCCATCTCAGTGCTCGCCTGGGCAGGGGCTCACTATTACTACTGCTGTCCCTTAGCCGTGTGTGTTTCCCTATGACTGCCCTGAATTGCCTAGCAGTCCTGTCTGTATCATGAAGTCAGGCCGCTGTGATGTTACAGAATCACACACCAGTTGAACCGACGGCTGTTTCTTTCTTTGTTGAGTCTCTCAACCTCCCTCTGTAGCTCTAAAATCCTCCTCCTCTCGGCTTCTAGAGCATGTTCATTAGCTTTAATCTCGACTTTTATCTGCTCTAGGCACCTCGCTAGCTGGCTGTACGCCTCTTGAAGAATGGCGATTTTATCACAATGTGGAATCGTCTTGTTCTCATCATCCGTGTCCTGGTTTGCCTTGGGGTCGAAGTTGGGCTGCACAGATGTTTGGTCTGAACTGAAAGCGACACGGTCCTCTTGATGTGAGAGTTTTCTCGTCGAAATGTGGATTATATTGCTGTCGTCTAGGTTGGCTTGCGTATCCGTGCCATAGAGAGTCTTGCCCTCGGCCTGGCGACTCGAAATATCTGAGTCATCAGCTTCTTTTCTGATAGGCACACCCTCAGAGAGCGAATATTCGAAAACTCCATGGGGAAGGGAATTGTCTCTCTCAAGATCGTGTTGATCAAGGCCCATTGCCACTTTTGCTAGCCATCCAACCTCTTCCCTAACAGCCTCCTTGACGACTTCAACCTCTCCCTCAGACGCTAGGAGTGACTGCAAAGAGAATTCTGTCGCCTCGGTCATCGCGCCCAGGATCCCACTTGAGTCTAAGAGAAGCTTCATGTACTTCATGAATGCAGTAACAAGAAGGCTGCCCACTGGAGACACAGCGCCAAGGAGTACGAAAAAGGCTTGACCAATGGTTGTAATCTCAACATTGAGGTTCCTCATCTGTGCCGATTGACTCTCCCGTTGTCGTTGACTCCTCTGTATCTCCTCATTGGACCGATTAATCGCTGCCCGGCTTCTATCATGAATTTCTTGAAACGAAGCATCTGTGTCTTTGGTAGAACTGGGATTTAAAATCGGTCAGATATGCACTCAAAATGTGATAATCAACTTACATGTAATATGCGGGTCCATGGGCCACACTCTCCCGTGAAGTTCGTGATTCCTGTTGGTTGACTCGATCGAGTCTCTCAAACCCGAGGGTCTCAGTGCGATATTCAGTGACCGAGTCCGTACTTCTCCATACCTCCAGGACCGCCTTTGTACATGTCGCTGCCGTTATTGCTGCATATCCTTGCCATTCCTTTGATTTGTGACAGTCTGCATAATCAGCCACGCTCTTGATCACAAGGGTTGGTACATAATCCCATGTACCAGCACTCTCCATCTCAAAACCAATCACTCCCTCTTTTCTGGCTATGTCGTCCCGGTGTTGCCCGCTCTTCATCACTTGGTTACTGCATGCTATCCGACCAAAGTGAATACGAGGCTTCCTCGCCTCTTGAATATCTGCCTCTGTTGTCTGGCTTCCGTTGGGAGCAATACCCTTTGCTGCCTGTATACGATTGCGTGTTATCTGTGTCTCAATGCCACAACCTAAGTCTCTGCAAGCGCTGCGCAGAGCTATTTCACAAACCTCATCATTCTGATTGGCACAGTTATCGCACACGTCGCATGGCTGCTGTCGGTGTTTATGACGGTATTCAGCTGGGTACAGAATATCGCTCATTGGTCCAGGGTAACCTGAGTGGCGGAATTCGTCTTTGTCCCATAGCTGGGAAGAGAAATGACTAATCTTATCTCTGATTCTTGTTCGAAGGCGAGTGCCTGACAGCTGCCCAACAAACGAACCAATTTCGGAATTCAATCGCCCAAGAGTGTGCTTCCGGATAAATGTATTGGGATACTGCTTGCCATTGTCGAATTGAATTACTGATGTGCTGATAATGACATCCCCCAGGACGATCTCTGCTCCGCTTGACACTTTCGGAACACCGCCGCATATACCCACGAGGATGCCAATCTTGATTCTCCTGAAACTGGATCGGAGATTGGCGACAACTGCTGCAGCGCTAGTTATGCCGACTTCTGGCATGTACACAATGACCACATGATGGTTGGCTAATCGGCCTGTGGTATAGCTATTAAGATCTCCATCAGCTTTCCCATAAGAGAAAGCATCAGTCTCGTACTCCTCGTCCAAAAGCGCCTCTATGGGATCGCGCTCGATAGTTAAAGCGCAGATTATAGCGATCTCGAAGCCATCACGGCCTTCTGGGCGGCAAAACTGGTTGGCAGCATGAGCTACCATAGCATCATGAGCAGCTGAAGGAGAGAGTCTGAACATATCTCAAACAAGGTTGTATGTAAAGATGTTACAGTGCTGGACGTCACTCGAATTTGGGATTCATCAAGATCGACGGTTTGGACTCTGCATCTTTAGGTACTCCGTATGTTCTGTGATAAGCGCCCGCAGAGTCGCCGCGTCGCCCGTGAGCGTGAGCGGGGTCCAAATTATATAATCTTAATGAGACATGATACAGCCTTGTATGAAACTCGCCAAAAGTGGTCTAGTGTACTTTAAACAAGGGTTCCAGAAAGGCGTCAGGATTATACATATTTGCGCCGCTTTTGCAAATAGCTTTAGTCATATCGATAGTAACCGAGATTCTGGGCGTTTTGCATCTAGCTGTAGCAGGCAAACACCTGTGAGTAGACTATAGGGGATATAGGGTCCCAGAAAATGAGGACAGCACACATATGTTGGCCATGGACCTTATTCATCAGAGCAGCTTTGAAGATCCGACAGATGATACAGATGAGGATCTGTCTCATGACCTGGAAGATTATGGTTGCTGCATGATGATTGCTCTATACGTGGCAGCCCAAAACCGATCCAGAGCTGGGCGACAAAGCCACACTCCATGAAACGCTAGTCCGGCGCCCTGAGTCCTTTCCAGGCAAGTCCTCTGTCGATGCTTGAATCCATGGCGGGGTAATTGTGGCTGGGCGATGGATGAGCCGTCAGTTGTTATGCAGGAGTCTCAACAAGGTGTCGTTGTAAGATCCGCGGCCCTTTAGGCTGCTTTGATGATATACGGCTGAGATATGCATAGATGTGACTCGCGTCATTCGGCGGTAAAACCGGGTCCAAGCGCATCCAACCAGATACCGTAGGATGTGCAGTCGTGCCATTCGCAGAGGCGCATTGTGGTAAAAGCTCAGCTCTTCCCGAACCGGGATGTGATGTACTCCAGGTGCCGTAACAGAAGGCCAGAAGGTGTTGATAAACAATACGAGGCCCGCCGATTATGGAAACAAATCACACTGCATCTTACCACTTTGTGGCATGGGTTGGATTCTCCATATGCGTGGAACTGTACTGAAGGACAGCTCGGGCTCGGTCTTCGGCCTCGGGGCCGAGCTTGCTCAATAACCCCGAAGCTAGGATTAGATATATTGCTCACTCCGAACAGTTCTCTCGCCTCTCCGTCTTCTCACCACTACTGCAGTCCCCTACTTCAGAGAGTAAATTTCTTTCCAGCAGCATCACAGAAATATCCCAAATGCATTCTCCTTACACCTACTGCGACCCAGCCCCTCTTTCGCAGGTCGAGGCTGTCGGTTTTATCGCCAGAACTACGTGCGCGGCCTCAACCCTCGCACTGGCGGCATAGGGGCTCTGGTCAAAGTCGCCCTTGTCGGAACGGCCACTTACTTTGTTTGCAAAAAGATCTACCAATAAGTCTCCGTTTTGCTTTCCTCAGTGATGACCGTTTTGCTGAACTGAACTCGGCTCTGACTTCTGTTTGCTTTAAATAGTGCCGGTGCCCAAAGCAATAATAATGGGCAGACTTCGCAATAACCGCCAACCAGTCCAATTACTGGGCAGGAGGTTGTGAACAGCGTGAATCTCAAATGATGCATTTGCAGAGATGAGGTGTCTGGCGTTTGTGGACTTTTGTTTTCTTCAACGGCGTTGGGTATGTTAATAATAATCTATGGGGGCCTTCGTTGATAGTCTCTTGCTATGCGTTTTGGATGAAATTCATTGCGTATATATGCTGAGAGAAAACTACATTCTTACCCCTAAAAGTGCTTTAGGCTCACAGTAGTAAGGTCCCAATGGAAACAGACGGACTATTATTCTCAGACTAAGACCCTTACCGTCTATGAGTTAGGGTATACTTCATTCCTTCTGATTCATATATATCTCAGTTCGATCTCTGGCCCACCCTGCCCCACCCTGCCCCGAATAGAGACTGTACCGTTCAAGGACAGCCATCAAAGTCAACTTGAACAACGTATCCGCCAAATGCTTCCCGAGACATCGTCCACTCGCCGCCCCAACACCAAATCGCATAAACCCGTATCGCAACTTCGAGGACGGAATATCCCGAAACCGTTCGGGACGATACATATCGCCGTCTTTGCCCCAGGTAGCTGGGTCCGCGTTCAGGCGTTTGGCGTCTATCACGACAGGGCATCGTGCGGGAACTCGATACCCCCAATCTCTTTAGGGACAGCAGTGCACTCGGGGAGAGAGAATGCTGCGACATAAGGATTAGATTAGAGAGCTGGAGTTATTGACGGTGAAAAGGAAAGGAAAGGGACTGACCGAAAGCCGGCGACAAGCGTATAGCCTCCATCACGGCGTAGTTTAGGAGTGTATCTTGTTTTGAGAGATATTTTCCGGTGTGGGTATTAGTATCCGTGTCAGTATCGGTGTCCGGGGTGTGGGTGCGACTCTGAATATGCGCTTCAACCTCCCCTCGAAGCTTCTGTTGAAAAGCCGTATTGGCAGCTAGATGCTCGAATAGAGTGTTGAGGACCGCGGAGCTGACGTCGACGTTGGCGAAGAGGATCTCGTCTAGGGTGTGCAGGAACTGGATACGTCAGCGCAACTGTATATCCTGAGTGTGGACTGTACGCACCTCCTCAAGTTTCAAATCACCCTTTTCAACACCGTGATATATCCTCTCGGCAGGGCACACCTGCGATCCTTGCCGAGCAGACTGAACGATCCCAACATTGAACTCCCTCCACCTGGAACGGAATTCTTCCATTCGTTTGGCGGCATTCCGGTCCAACCAACAGCCTCGCCTTGTCGCCAGTCGTTTGTTGGCGATCACATCATGCAGGATGACTTCGTGGAGGACATTTAGTTCCAATAAGGCAGAGAAACGCTGTTGGCAGCCCAGCCAACCATCAGCCGATGGCCCATATAGAATGTACGGATAATCCTAAAGCGAAAGACATGGGGGATGTGGGGTTAGGTACGCTACCTCATCATCAAAAACCTCCCCATACAGAAACTCCGCCGCAAGCCGGAGCGGCAAAAACCGACAGGGCTTCTTGATCTCCAGTGCAAACCCTTTCTCCGTTCCTGTTCCTTGCAGTGGCAGATCATCAAGCCATCGGTTGATGCTCCCGCTGAGTTGAGGGATCGCTTGTCGAGCGGATTGAAACGAGAACTCGGGGTCGAAGTAGCGACGGATCATCGACCATCTTTCTCCTGCTATTGCTCCAACTGCGTGGCCGAGAATACTGGAGACTTTGGTCAGTATTCCACGGCGAACTGATAAGTGTAAGGTACGAAGGGAACTCGGAGACGTGTGACTCACCCGCTAAAGTACTTCCCATGTTCAGACATGGTGGCTTAGGATGGTCTGCGAGTCCTGTATCAGTACCCTACGGAAGCCGTTTATGGTTTCAGGGTGCCAGGAGGGCGTACGCTTAGTATCGCCCTTGTAGAAGTCATAGATGTGCTCTGGCCTGGTCACCACCAGCTCTCTTGCTCGGCCATTGCGGATGATGAACGGCTCCTCTCCAACGAAAGCCTTGCCCTGATCGGAGAGCTGCTGGCTAATGAACATTCATTAGCTGGTTCCTCCCGCTTGTTGGACGAGGTCGACCGCCTGATGGGATACGTTCTTACCTGAAAGCAAACTTTGACACGCGGGCGTCTCCAGGAAGCTCGCGGATTTTCCTGCCATGTTGGTTGGTGATTCTGTTTGCTCGGTGCCTGGCGCGAATTTTGAGTCCGACCAGGACAAATAATACCAGGACAAACAACTTGAGGACTGGGGGGCTGGCCCTCAGCCTCTGCTTCTCTAGATCGGATGCCTGTGTCAGAGTATTGACGAAACCCATTTTGCAAAGGAAGGCACAGAGACAGGTATGTGTCTAGCGATAGAAACTCCACGCGGGAATGCGTATACCCAAAGGTGCTCAGCCGGTAGGCTTGACCTTGAATGCCATTGCGGATCTCCGCAATAAACCGAATCGTCGAGCATTTTTCCGGCCATGGTGAGATGGATTCGGAGAATTCAAATCCTGGTGTTGGGGCCGATGGGCAATTCTCCGAGATTCCCGTCACGAGAAGAACAGAGACGCGACTAGGTGTTGGTATACTAATGCAAGCTGCAGGCAGCTTATCAAAACCTCCAGGTTCAGTTAGACTGCTGTATACTTGTAACTTTTGCTTACCTTTACTCCAGATCCGGGCCACAATGATCCCTCCAAAGCAACAAACCGCTCTAAAAATCACCTCAGAAGGACGCATCGCCGCAGTCCCATGCCCTCTTCCATCCCTCCAGAATGACGAACTGCTCGTCCGCGTCAGAAGCATAGCGTTGAACCCCTTCGACGCCAAATCAGCCGAAATGTCACCTACCGTCGGCGCAACTCTGGGCTGCGATTTCGCAGGGGATGTCGTCGCAACAGGCTCCGACACCAACAACCTCAACTTCAGCATCGGCGACCGAGTCTGCGGCTGCGTCTTTGGCAATAATCCAAATAGGCTGGATAATGGCGCATTCGCAGAGTACGTTGCTGTCCCGGCGGATCTACTGTTTAGGATTCCGGAGAGTATGGACTACAATGAGGCTGCGAAGTTGGGTGTAGGGCTGGCCACTGTAGGGATGTCGCTATATCACTGTTTACAGTTGCCAATGGAGCCTGAACCGGCTGGCAAGTCGCCGTATATTCTGGTTTACGGCGGTTCAACAGCGACTGGGACGCTTGCGATCCAGATCCTTGCGCGGTAGGTAACCCCATATGATACTCGTGATATCGGCAGGCGAGTCGAACGTTACTAACCCATCTCTATTGCAGCTCTGGTTACACCCCGATAACAACCTGCTCCCCCCATAATTTCAGCCTGGTCAAGTCCCTCGGCGCCATCGCAGCCTTCGACTACCACTCCCCAACATGCGGGCGTCAAATCCGAGATTACTCTTCCGGCACCCTCTGCTACGCCCTCGACTGCATCACGGACACACGGTCCATGGCCATCTGCTACGAGGCCATCGGGCCATCCGGCGGTCACTACCTCAGTCTCGACCCGTTCCCCATCCGAGGACATACGCGGCGAAGTGTGAAGCCGAATTGGGTGCTTAGCTTGACGATGTACAACCAGCCGATTCCGTGGAAGAGGCCGTTTAAGCGGGATGCGCGTCCGCAGGACCGGGAGTTTGCGAAGAGGTGGTTCCAGGTCGCTCAGAAAATTATTGATGCTGGTGAGATTAGACCGCCTATGTCGGAGGTGAGGGCTGGCGGATGGAACGGTATACCGGAGGGTTTGGGTCTGCTACAAAGGGGAGAGGTTTCGGGAAGGAAGCTTGTGTATGAGGTAGCGAGACATTAGCTTATTTTATTATCTATGCTCTTCATGGAGGTGTGAATGTTAAGGTAGATATTCTATAAGATCAGCGTTGCGAGTGCAGGTATACCCTCGTGTAGGTCCCGTTCCACGGTATCAGTATCTACGAAGAAGAACTACGAGTAGCATAAGCCATAATGTGTCGGAAGTCCAATAAGCGTATTTTCCGAGCATAGTGGATCAAACGTCAATCCCGAGGGCAAACGGGGCAGTGCGCGTGAATATTCCGAGCCGGAGAATAGCAGACAGACAAAGCTGTCTTCTAAGCACTCAATTGACAAGAAAAATGCACAGAACAATTTAAGCCAGTCATGGCAGGGTCGAACCTCTGATAGAGCATTCCCCCATACCTACTCCATCCACCAGAAAGAATCATGCCTACCGAAACCCTGGATCCAGGGACCGTCCTCATCGTGGGCGGCGGCCCCGTGGGCCTCATCACGGCCACGACACTAGCCAAGTACGGCGTGCGCAGTGTCATTCTCGAGCGCAACCTGACGACAACCAAGTGGCCGAAGATGGACCTCACAAATGCTCGCTCGATGGAAATATACGAGAGACTAGGGATCGCAGAGGCACTGCGGAAGGTCGCCGTGCCCTCGCACTATCCGTTTACATGTCTCTTCTCGAGCGGGCTACATGCCGAGAAAGCAATCACCGCATGGGATCTGCCGAGTCCTGACGAGTACCAGAGGAGGATTAGGGAGCAGAATGATGGGAGTATGCCGTCGGAACCGTGGTTACGTGTTTCCCAGGAGATCTTTGAGGCGTGGCTTAAAGGGCTTGGTATGGAGAATCCGCTTATTGATTTCCGTGCTGGGTGGAAGGTTACCGGGGCGCGTGAACTCGACCATGGAGCGCAAGTGGACGCCATCCATCCGGAGACCGGTGAAGAGTGGAAGATCAGCGCGGACTTTATAGTCGGATGCGATGGCGCCCATAGTGCTATACGCAAGAGTCTCGATATTCCCTTGGACGGGGGCCCGATGTAAGTACTGACCTGACTACCGAGTTGACACGGCAAGTCTGCAAGACAGATCATTGACGACATGTTAGCCATGGGTACGCGGTCCTCGTGCATTTCAAATCAAGAGACCTCTCAGGCATCCAGAAGCAAGGCCAATTCTGGCACTTGTTTTTCCCCAATGCTGCGAGTGATGGCGGGTCCATCAAGGGCGCCGTCATCTCACAGGACGAAGTCGACACCTGGACCGTCCATCGTTTCATGCGGCCCGACGTGGATCATACACAGCTCTCGTCGGAGGAGATCGTCTATGACCTTCTGGGTGGGATGAGTGGCCGACCGTTCCCGATCAAGATTGACGAGGTCCTTGTTCGCTCGACATGGACGCCAAGCGTCGCACTTGCGCGTTCTTACGCAGGGCCTAAGCACCGTATATTCATCGCGGGAGACGCATGCCACCAGACTGTGCCGACGGGTGGCTACGGAATGAACACCGGTATTGCAGATGGTTACGACATCGGATGGAAGCTGGCGGCCATGATACAAGGGTGGGCTGGACCCGCGACACTTCTCTCCTATGAACAAGAGCGCCGGCCTGTGGGAGAACTGGCACTGCAATGGTCAAAGGTACACATGGGCAACTTGATGAAGATGTCGGCCGAACTGGGTCTCGACGCCGACGTGATCGAGTCCAACAGTGAGGCCGGCGCTCAAATGCGAGCAGCCATGCATTCCTATCTCCAAACACACGACGGCCACAACCAGAGTATCGGGGTGGAGATGGGATACCGCTATGCTTCTGATCTTTGTGTTTCTGGTCCTCTTGACGCCGAGCTCTCCCCGCCAGAGTTTCATCCCAGAAAGTACACACCAAGCACCATGCCGGGTTACCGAGCTCCCCATGTGTATTTGACGACCGGGACGCCTGTGTCCCATCTTTTCGGTGACGGCTTCACGCTTGTTGCGTTTCCCGAGAGTGAAAAATTGTCCCCGTCGATTGGGCATCTGAGAGAGTCGGCTCGAAGGAGAGCCCTGCCCCTTGACATTGTGGAGTTAACAGGGGAAGTGCATGCTAATGAGGTTTGGGGGGCTTCTCTAGTTCTCGTTCGACCAGACGGATTCGTGTCGTGGCACGGTGACGACGTTCGCAGTCCAGAAGAAGCTGACCGCATTATAGCCCAGGCCAGTGGTTTTGATCCTGGTTCCTTGGGTGGTCATGAACAGGTGCTGGAGAGAAGCACCTTGTAGCTTAGTTGTTGAGCTTAGTTCTCTTAGTCCGCAATTATATATATTAGGCACTTCACATTTCTTGCCACGGACCAAGCATAAGACCACATTGAAAAGTTCAAGATCTATTTGCAGCCCCCATGAACGCACAAAATACTGTTCCACACTCCGCTTGTGCCAGGTAACCAAACCATTTTTTATATGTACGAAGAGTAAATTTTCGTCCCTGGCGTACTGCAAGTAAACAGCAGGGCAAATACCTGTGTGCACAGCAAGCCGAGTATTGGCGCTTTTGAGGATTATATTGACCACCACATCGGACAAGTTCTTCTGGGCAGGATTTAAGCGATGGCGAGTGTTGAAAAGCATAGACTTGTCAGGGGTAATGTCCACGACAAGGCCGACATGGCCTGCATTGCCCCGTAGGCGATTCTCGCCTTGTTGAAAATCGTCAAAGTTGACTAGTGTATGTACTTATAAATAATTCTGTGGCCGGGAGAATTACATCAAGTTCTGTGGATTCGATTCTCATTAATTAGTCAAGGTCCATCCAGCCAGGCCATCACTGGCGACCTAGTTAACATAGGTACTTCTGCTCTTCATATGTTCTCATGAACATCAACTCGTTAACGGCACCGTGTTGCTGCAAGATTCCGGCTACATAAAACCTATCTACCACGCGTGTATCTTGAGATCTTCGCTTCTCTCACTCCTTGAACAGCGCGATTTGCACGCCAGTCTTGTTTGAAGGTCCCACGCGCATCACTCCGACATAGGGATTTGGATCTCTGGCTTCAATCCGTTTATAGACGCGCATCAGACGGGCCCGGAAGTAGCTGGCTTCTGCTGTCACCAGCATCTGAGCCGGACAACGACGGGGCCCTCCACCAAAGGGAACAAAGTTCCAGTAGGGCCGCAGATTCTCCCACCGTTCGGGCCGGAAACCCTCTGCATCGGGGCCCCAGATATCGCGGTCTCGATGGATGACATTCTTGTTGACCTGGACGACATCCCCCTTACGGACAAAAATCGGTTGCTTGCCATCAGGACCCCGCCCACGGGCAATGTCGTATCTCGGATGCATTTCCGCGCCTGGGTCACGCCGTTGGGAAAGAGGCGGTGCGCTTTCCTATATGTCAGCCCCCTGAGTCACGAGTAACAGGAAAAGAAAAGAGAAACAAGCTACGCACTCTCATTGAGGATGGCGATGAGATATTTCATATTTCGCAATACCGAGAATGTCAACTCCGCGTCGCCCACCGCGAGTACCTCCTGGCGACATTTCTCGTATATCTCTGGATGACGAGCAAGATTCCATAGGATATGGCTAATGAAGATGGAAGTCGTATCGTTATTAGGCACGAAGATCAAGCAGAGCTGGGATCGGAGGGCTTCCTTGTCCTGCAGATTGCTCGCCATATACCATAGCAGGTCCTTGCGATCAGCCGTCTCCGGGTCTTTTCCTTGGCGCTTATATTCGTTGAGCTCGTTGTACGTTCGGCCAATATGCGCATTCAGGTACTTGTGGACCACATCCACTGCATCGAGCCATGCCTGGTGGCGGAAGAGCCAGATGTACTTGTACCATTGAAGCCGCAGTCGGACCTCGGAGAAAGTCCACCATTGCCCAGCATATTGGGGCTCTCTCCGGATATACCAGAGACTCGATTGACTCCCCAAAGAGAGACTCGGTGGTCACGTCAAGGAACTTTTAGATCCCGAGGTCAGACATATGTCCTCGTAGCAGCAGAGAGGAGAGGGGCTTACCCAACGTTGAATGAGTGGCTGGATATTGACTGTTTCACCGTCCGCTGGCAGTAGTTCCAAAACTCGATCAACATGGATGGTCAGACGAGCGGTATCTGTGAAGGTTTCGCGCTTGAAGAATGGTTTGATCAGAAATCGGCTGAATTCCCACTCATGTCCGTCGACAGTGTTGACGCCTTTGTCCGCAAATGGAGCAGTCGCCTTGTTATTGCGCCGCATTGGACCAACAGCAAAGTCCTGCCAGTTGATGGCGGACATACTCTTCATATTCTCGGGCTCAATGGTGTAGATGAACCGGGTGCCAACAAAGTTCACCAAGAAGGTCTTTGGCAGATTCTCATGGATTTTGTTGAGCCAGACAAGGAAGTAGTCATTGCGCAGTGCCTTGGCCATACCAAGCACAATATCGAAGCCGAAGAATGGGTCGCGATGAGGGTACCGAGGGATCTTGCCACACCCATGTGCCTTGCGTTTCCATTCATAGACGACCCAGTCTACTGCTATCATGCAGCAAGAATAGATCACAAATGCAGAGAGAACAAACTTTATTCCATCCAGAAAGTTGGCGTGCTGGAGGAGAGTTTGCAGACTCTCCTTCGAAAGCGTGGTGGCCAGACTCATTATTGTGGAAGATAATGGTGACAGGCAAGGGGATACGGAAAGCTACTACCAAGCAAGGTGCTCATTTTTCTGCACCCAAGGGCAGCCCGGTTCTTTTCCATCTTCAAAATCACTTGATGGCTGTCTGAGCATCTCGGAATATCGTTGTGGAAATCCCGTGGATTTCCCGTAATCCCGCTGAATATCCCGCTGTCCCGCGATTTCGCGACATCTATCGCAGCAATTAGGGCTTCATACGAGGACCCACTATATTCCTTAGCTATGGGATGGCCTATGTATGCCTTGGTGATTTAGATAGATACATACACAGCCCTATGTATAACCTCTCAAGAAACATTCTACCACCAGGGGACTACGAGGCAGATTTGATACTTGTCCGCCTTCTTTGTTACTCTTCACAACCACACACATTCCTCTCTCAACATGCAGGACTTGATCGCCATTATTGGCTCTGCTTGTCGATTCCCTGGGCAATCAGATAGCCCTTCAAAGCTATGGACCCGGTTAAAAGAGCCTGTCGACCTTCGCAAGACCTTTCCTCCTGAGAGACTGAACCTCGCTCGGTTCTATCATCCAGATGGAGAACACCACGGCAGCACAGATGTACGCGGGATGTCATACCTGCTGTCAGAGGACCCTCGTCAGTTTGATGCATCTTTCTTCAATATCAACCCTCGCGAGGCGGAAGGGATGGATCCTCAACAGAGGCTGCTGCTGGAGACTACCTATGAGGCCCTTGAGGCGGCCGGCTACTCACTGGAGGCCATGAATGGTTCAAAAACATCCGTTCACGTCGGTGTGATGAACACAGATTTCAGGAATATTCAGCTGCGAGATACAGAAGTGCTACCTACATACAATGCCACCGGCACCTCCATTAGCATTCTTTCAAATCGACTGTCATACTTTTTCAATCTAAAAGGCCCGTCAGTGACCGTTGATACGGCCTGCTCCAGCTCACTGGTAGCCCTGCATCAGGCCGTCCAGGGCCTTCGCGCCGGTGATGCAACCTCCGCCATTGTTGCCGGTGCAAACTTGATTTTTGATCCCGCTATGTACATCGCTGAATCGAGTCTGCATATGCTGTCCCCTGACTCATGCTCGAGGATGTGGGATAAGGATGCCAACGGATATGCTCGGGGAGCAGGGTTCGGTGTATTGCTCCTTAAACCGCTGAGTCGGGCCATTATGGATGGCGACCACATCGAGGCAGTCATCCGCAGCACGGGTGTCAATTCCGATGGCCGTACCAAGGGCATCACCATGCCCAACGCAGCGTCCCAAACGGAGCTTATTCGGCAAACATACCGAGATGCAGGCCTTGACCCTGTCCGGGATCGATGCCAGTACTTTGAGTGCCACGGAACGGGCACTGCGACTGGAGACCCCATAGAAGCGCGCGCTGTGCACGATGCATTTTTCCCCACTGAAACAGGCACAGCCTCGAACCCGCTTATCCCCGACGGCAAGCTGTACGTCGGATCCGTGAAGACGATCATTGGCCATCTTGAAGGTTGTGCGGGCATTGCTGGAGTCCTCAAGGCTGTTCTCGCCATCAAGAATCGCACCGAGTTGCTGTGAACCCCAATGTGTGTTACCGAATCGGAAAAGACGAGACTCAAATGGAGGCGGACGCGTTCGTTACCGCAGCGGACTCTACACTCCTTAAAGGAGATATCCAGCTTTACCAGTGCGAATCTCAGCATGCTACCCTCCAGGTCGAAGGGATCTCCATGAAATCCATGTCCGAACCTCAGCCGGAGAACGATAGATGCTTATTCTCAGAGACCGTCTGGGGCCCTGATGTCTCATTGGGCGTCACTGAAGTGGCCAGCCGCGCAGCCAAGGACGACATTCCCCTAGTAGAGGCTTTGGACCGAGTATCCCTATTCTACTGGCAGAAGCTTGTTGAAGAGGTCGGCGCGGAGATAGCCCAGTTCCAGTGGTACCACCAACGAATGTTGGACGCCGTCAATTTCCAGGTCGCCTCCGTGCGCAGCGGACAACATCCCACTGCGAAGTCAGCATGGCTTGAGGATGATTGGAATACCATTCTTGCTGTAAGCGAGCCTTATGCGTCTCGTGTGGATATGCGACTCATCCACGCGGTTGGAGAGAATCTGGCCGCCGTTGTGCGTGGTGACACACAGCTGCTGGAAGTCATGGTCCAGGACGACATGCTCAACCGCTTTTACATGGAAGGATATGGCTTTTCAGTCATCAATAGTGCGGTCTCGGACGCTCTGGAGCAGATCACGTTCAAGTATCCTCACGCAAACATCCTGGAAATTGGCGCCGGCACTGGTGGAACGACCCGCAGTATCCTTGACCGACTTGGCAGCCGCTATGGATCTTACACATACACCGATATTTCCCCCGCCTTCTTCAAAGCCGCGGCTGAAAAGTTCGAGGACGCACGAGGGAAAATACAGTTCAGGGTCTTGGATGTGGAAAAGGAGGTGGGCGCTCAGGGCTTCAACGAGTGCAGTTACGACGTCATCGTCGCCGCGAATGTCCTCCATGCCACGCGCAAGCTGGAAGAGACCATGAACCATGTTCGGGCTCTGCTCAAACCCGGCGGATATCTTGTCTGATGGAGATCACTGGCCCAAATGTCTTGCGGACGCAGTTTATCATGGGCGGCCTTCCAGGATGGTGGTACGGTGTGGATGACGGACGTGTCCTGTCGCCCGCCATATCGGTTGGGCAATGGAACCAGCTACTTCTCGATACTGGCTTCTCTGGCTTGGACTGTCTGAGGCCCGACATGTTGGATGAAGACAAGCACTCTTTCTCACTCATGGTGAGCCAGGCCATTGACGAGAAGATGCAAATGCTCAGGTATCCGGCATTGTCGACGAGCATTGCCCCAGCAGGGGATGTTCTGCTCATCGGAGGCCGAACCAATCCAACTGTGCAGATAGCTCAGGAAATTCATCACTACCTCGCCACCTGGACGAGCCGTGTTCAGGTTTGGAATAGTATCCAAACCAAGCAGCTGGATCAGCTGGCTCAATTCGAAAACATCATTTGCCTCGAAGAACTGGATCAGCCTTTGTTCTCCACGACCATGACCGGCGAGAGGCTGCTGGCTCTGCAAAGGCTTTTGAGCGGGACGAGGAATGTTGTCTGGGCCATCAACAGCGCCAATGGCGGGAACGCCCATGTGAACATGACTGTCGGTATCGGGCGAGCATTGAGAACAGAGGTCCCTGGTTTGAACCTCCTTTTCGTCGATGTGGATGCTATTGATAATGCCCCTGCATGTGCACAACAGCTCTCGCAGATGTTACTGCAGCTGGTGATTGGATCTCTGTGCTCAGCTGAGAACATGCTGTGGGCAGTGGAGCCGGAAATTCGAGTCCAAGAAGGGCGACGCCTTATTCCTCGGGTTCTTCCCATAACATCAATGAACGAGACGTACAATGCCAGTCGGCGAGTCATTACCAAGTCCGTCGATATCGAGACCACGTGCGTGACTTTGGAAGACTCTGCAGGTTCACTGCGCCTGGTGCAGCGAGCATCCATGGTAGGCAGCCCCGTCCAGCGCGGCCATGATCGGCTCCGAGTTCATTTCTCTCTCTCTCTCGGGGTCTCTGGGGGCTCTTCATGCTACTTGTGTAGTGGTGTTCTGAGGGAGAGCGGACGCCCGGCCCTGGCACTCTCCACCTCGAACGCAAACTTTGTGGACGTCCCCAACGACATGGTCTTGACCTTGGATCAGGATCAGCCTTGTGATCCCGCGGTACTTGAAGCGACAGCCCGCCATCTCCTGGCGAGAAACATCTGCAGCCGCCTTCCGGCCTCGAATGGAATACTGGTCTATCAACCCAGCCACGACTTTGCTCAAGCACTGCTGTCAACGGGACGCCAATTTTCAATCGCCGCTACCGACAGGGCCAGGTGCTTTAGGGACTGGATCTACTTCCACCCTAGAGCCTCACGCCGCGCTATTCGGTCTCATCTACCGGAGAACTTGGACGCCCTCATCGACTGTACTGGTGGAGTACCCGAAAATCTCACAGCCTGTCTCCCGACACACTGCAAGATATTCAACACGACGCTCCATCAGCTCGACGCCAGCCTCCTGGGTCCCGCATATTCTGCCGCTCTCACACATGCCAGCTCCTCGCGTAAAGGACCGAGCACCCAAATCAGAGACCTTCCCCTGGCCACGCCCCCCAAACTGCCGATGGCCGATTGGACAGGTGTCGAATCTGTGGAAGTGACACTTCAGCCACTTAGCACCAGCGAGCTATTTTCGCCAAACGCCACTTACCTCCTTTCTGGCATGACAGGCGACCTTGGTCTTTCACTGTGCCGTTGGATGATTGACAATGGCGCCCGAAATATTGCTCTGACGAGCGTAATCCAAACGTCGACGAGGAATTGTTGCAAGACATGCGCTGTGGTGCTGCTGCCGATATCCGAGTCTTCCGGAACGACATCACTGACCGAAATGCTGTTTGTGGGCTGGTTGAAGAGATCAGAAAGACAATGCCGCGTATTGCTGGTGTTTTCAATGCATGCATGGTCCTCCGAGATGGACTCTTCTCCGAAATGGACGCTGACACCCTCAACGATACTCTCGCGCCCAAGGTTGACGGGTCCAAGATCCTAGATGACATCTTCCAGGATGACTCTCTCGACTTTTTCGTCCTCTTCTCGTCCCTGGCGAGTATCATTGGGAATGCTGGCCAATCCAACTACCACGCTGCGAACATGTTTCTCTCCGGCCTTGCCGCCAACCGTCGCAAGAAGGGTCTTGCAGCGTCCGTGTTGCACATTGGTCTGGTCACCGATGTGGGGTATGTTGCTCGCAGGGGTCAAGCAATGGAGGAACGGCTTCGTAGGCTGTTTTTCCTGCCATTGTCGGAATCGGACATCCACCATGCGATGGCACAAACCATTCTAGCCAGTGCACCTCATAGCACGCGTCAGCACGAGATTATTTTGGGGTTAGAGCCTTTCGTTGATTCACCCAACGCGACTAAACGGCCCCCCTGGGAACATAATCCAAAGTTCTCGCATTACGTTTCCCGGCCATTGCTGGACGCAACGCCGGCGGCAACGACATCGGAAGCTATAGCAGACGTGAAACAACTGTTGAGGTCGGCGGTCTCCACAGAGACAGTCGCCCCTATTGTCCAAGAGGCATTTGCAAGGAAACTTGAATCGATGATGCAACTCCCTGCCAACAGTGTCAACCTGAATGTTCCCCTGATTGACTTGGGATGCGACTCTTTGCTGGTCATTGAAATTAGACGTTGGTTCATCAAAGAGGTTGGCATTGACGTTCCTGTCCTCAAGGTGTTGTCCGGCGACACCACGGCTCAGATCTGCGAGGATGCGGTCTCGCAATTTCTGGCTTTACAGCTGGAGAAGAAAGACGCACTGCCATCCAACGCCACGGAAAAGCCGCCCAAGGCAGAGCCTCAAGGACCCAGTGATGCTCTTGACAAAGTCAATAGTGCCAATGAGGACTCAGAAACAAGTAGCCAAGGCGATGATTCTTCGCGAGGAAATTTCTCGTCGTCGAGCAGCCACACCAGTCCAAGTCTCCAAGCTACTACTCCTGGTGTCAAACCGAGTACCCCAGCGCCACTGGATGATGACGCGGGGCCTCTCAATTGCGCACTTAAGCGAGCCATAATTCGCGCCGAACGTGCCTCCTTTGCCCAGTCAAGACTGTGGTTCTTGACGCAGTATCTTCATGATCCAACAACGTACAATGTCACCGTGCGTTACGATTTTAGAGGGAAGCTTCCAGCTTCACGAATCGTCAATGCGCTGGACACAACCATCCGCCATCATCAGTCTCTGCAAACGTGCTTTTTCATAGACTCGGACAAGGAAACACTGATGCAAGGAGTCCTGTCGCCGCCGTGCAGTTCCATCAAAACTATTCTTTCTGGAAACGAGCAGACCGTCATAGAGGAATACGAGCGTTTGCGTCGTCGAGTTTGGGATCTCGAGAAGGCGGAAACCTTCGCGGTCACTGTCGTTTCTTTGTCGCCCGAACAGCATACCATTATCTTCGGGTACCATCATATCGTCATGGACGGGGTGAGCTGGCACCTTTTCTTGCGAGACCTGGACCTCGCATATCGCCTTAGATCGCTCCCTTCGATTGAAACGGAATACATCGACTGGTCGGAGAAGCAATTTCAGTCCGCTCAGCGAGGAGACTTCACCAGACAACTCGATTACTGGCGGAAGCAGCACTCGCCTCCACCCTCCGTCATGCCACTGCTGCCAATGGCTCGGACGACTTCTCGCAAGCCGCTCACCACGTATGACAGCCATGTCGTCAGTGCCGAAATTGATCGGGAGCTCGTGTCGCACATCAGGCACGTCAGCCAGTCCTTGCGCATCACTTCCTTCCACTTCCATCTAGCCGTGATCCAAAGCATCCTCTGCCGCTTGTTGAAGATAGGGGATCTTTGCATTGGCGTGGCAGATGCGAACCGAACTAGTGAAGCTCATTCGGGGACTGTGGGATTCTTCCTGAATCTTCTTCCGGTCCGCTTCAGTACGAAGGAGCACAGCACATTCCAGGATCTGGTTTCCTCAACCAGGCGCACAATTCTTGAAGCCCTGTCCAACTCGGAGACGCCGTTCGATCTCATTCTCGACGATCCAAAAGTCGTGCGAAGTGCAGACCACAGCCCCTTGTTTCAGGTGGCTGTCAATTATCGCATGGGCGCAATGCTCCAGGTTCCCCTTGGGGACGGCACAATGGAGATGGCGTCTGCCGACGACGCAAAGAACCCGTACGACCTTAGTTTCGGGATCACAGAGACTGCAACGGGGGCTTGCTTGCTGGAACTGACTAGCCAAAAACAGCTATACACGGAGCGGTCTACGGAGCTCTTGCTACAGATGTACGTGGACGTCCTTCGCGCCGCGTCCGACAATCCTGCACTTCATGTCAATCAGCTACCAGTCACGTTGGAATCGCCAAGCGGGAAATCACTTGCCGTCGCCAAAGGCCCCAGAGTCGAGTATTCCTGGCCGAACACACTATGGGAGCAATTCGACGCGATCCAGAAGTCGTTCCCTGAGGAAACTGCCATCAAGGACGGTAGTTCAGATATGAGCTACTCGCAGCTGGCCAGAAGGGTTGAGCAACTCGCCACGATGCTAATCAGCCAAGGTGTTGCCGCTGGAGATAGCGTCGGCGTTCTCCTTCATCCGTCATCGACGCCATTGCTTGTATGCTGGCCTCGCTGCGCGTTGGATGCATCTATACACCCCTTGACACGCGACTGCCTCTGGCCCGCTTGAGTATCATCGTCGATGGCTGCAAAGCCTCCTTGGTCTTATACCACGCTGCAACCCGTGACGTTGCTCTGGAACTTGGAAAGTTCGCCAAACTGGCCAATGTCGACGATACATGCGGGACGGTTCCAGCGCAAGTAGCGGCAATTGCGCCTCCATCAAATGCGGCGGCTTTCCTATTCTACACGAGCGGCAGTACCGGGGCGCCCAAGTGCATTCTGCTTACGCAGCAAACCTTTGTGAATCATCTGGCTGCCAAGACCGACAAACTGGCTCTCGGCAGGGAGGTTGTTTTACAACAGAGCTCATTGGGATTCGACATGTCCGTCGTGCAGACTTTCTGCGCTTTGGGCAACGGTGGGACTTTGGTTATCGCACCGAAGGAAGCGCGGGGAGACCCCGTTGCACTGTCTGCGCTTATGGCAAAGGAACGAGTGACGCTAACGATTGCCACGCCCTCGGAATACTCCTTGTTGCTGCGCTTCGGTCTTGAGCACCTCCAGAAGCCCTACGCATGGAGACATGCCTGCATGGGCGGCGAAGTCGTGTCGCGGCAGTTGGTTCAGCAGTTTTGCCAGCTGGATCATCCTGATCTGCTGCTGACCAACTGCTATGGTCCGACGGAATCACTGCTGCTGCGACGTTCCAAAACATCCCTCTCCAATCGGAAGACCAGAGCACCACCGACGGATCTCTGGTGGGAAAGCCCTTGCCCAACTACTCGGTCTGCATCATGGACGCTTCCGGATCTCCGGCGCCCATTGGTATCGCCGGCGAGATCTGCATCGGAGGCGCCGGTGTTTCACTAGGCTATTTAAAATCTCAGGAGCAGACTGACGCGAAATTCGTTCAGGACCCCTTCGCTAGCCAAGAGGACATTGCCCGCGGTTGGACGAAGATGTACAGAACTGGAGATATGGGGCGGCTCCTCGAGGATGGCACTTTGGTTTTCATGGGCCGCATTGACGGCGATAATCAGGTCAAATTGAACGGTGTGCGTATTGAGCTCGATGGAATTGCCAACAGCATTCTCGCCACTGGACACGATCTGGTGTCCGAAGCCGTTGTCACCGTTCGTCCTGGCTCGGGTTCCGGTTCTCCATTCCTCGTGGCTCATGTCGTCCCTCTTGGAGATCACGTTGACGACTCCAGACTTCAGCAACTCGCCAGAGACCTTCCACTGCCACCGTACATGCTTCCGTCCGTGGTCATTGCCCTGGACCGCCTGCCTACCAACGCCAACGGGAAGGTTGACAGAAAGGCCGTCATGGCACTGCCTCTGCCAACCCGCCGCGCTCTCAGCGCGGCAGCTACCGGTACCGGTAACGCAGGACATCTCAGCCTCGCAGAAGGCGAGCTACGCCTGTTGTGGGAGAAGGTCCTTCCTGTCTCCGGTGGCCCGTCACGACTAGATGCCGATTCCGATTTCTTCATGCGAGGAGGAACCTCCATGCTGCTTGTCCGACTCCAGGGAGCTATCAAGCAGTCGATTGGAGTTTCGATCCCCATCGCGGAACTGTACCAGTTTCCGACTCTCGGTCAAATGGCACGGCGGATCAGTCGCCGTAAGGAAGAGCATCAAGCCTCCCACACATCCGTCATCGACTGGGACACCGAGACCTCGTTGACCCAAGACCTCATCTCTGCAGCAGCTCAAAGCCAATACTCAACACGTCAAGCAAAATACCATGACCGTCAGGAGATCTTGCTCACCGGTTCTACCACTTTCCTCGGCAAAACAATCCTGCAGTCCCTCCTCCACAACCTGCGCGTTGATCGAGTGCACTGCGTCGCCGTTCCTCCCGAGGATGCCTCCTCCTCCCGTCGTCCGACAAGATCAGCATCTACGCCGGCAACCTCCTCACACCCAACCTGGGGTTATCCCAGACCGAGATGGCGGTCCTTCAATCCTCCGTAGACGTCATCATCCACGCCGGTAGCACGGGGCACTGCCTGAACAACTACTCTTCCCTACGCACTGCGAACCTCGGCTCAACGAGGTTCATGGCGGGCCTTGCTCTCTCTCACAGTATCCCCATTCATTTCATCTCCTCCAACCGCGTCACCTTGCTCACCGGCAACACCAGTCTCCCTCCGGTGTCAGTTTCATCCTCCCCACCCAACCCGGATGGCTCTGAGGGCTTCACTGCCAGCAAATGGGCCTGTGAACGGCTCCTTGAATCGGCCGCCGCACTCGAACCCGGACTCCCTGTTACCATCCATCGTCCGTGCGCGGTCATCGGAGACGAGGCGCCCAACGAGGACGCCCTGAACGCTCTTCTGAAATACTCCAAGCTCACGAGCTGTGTTCCTCGTTTCGAAAACTTCGAAGGCTATCTTGATTTCGAGGACGTGCACAGGGTAGCCGGGGCGATCGCCGCGGACGCTCTGTCTACTGCTGAAGCAAGGGCCAGCAAGCCTGCCGCCGCACGATTCGTGCACCACTCCAGCGGGCACAAAGTGGCAATGAAGGACTTCAAGGGCCGAATGGAGACATTGTTCGCGTGTCCGTTTGAGGAGGTTTCTATGGCTGAGTGGACTGGGCGCGCATTGCAGGCTGGTATCGATCCACTGATCACAGGGTACTTGGAGGCGATGACGATGAAGGGGGAGACGATTCGGTTTCCTTATATGGGAGAGACGGGGTCGCTTTGAGGGTTTGTAGTTTTGTGTCATTTGATTTATTTTTTCGTCTGTCTGGTTTATCGAATCGGCCCATTTTTTGATTTAAATCTTGTATGTATACTCAGTGCCCCGAATACAATTAGATAAAATACCCGATCTGATCTACATGGGCATCTCCCTCTTTGAATACATGTACTGAATGACTACTCACTTACTTGGAACACGAATCTAGGGAGTGAACATTCCCATCAATTGCCCCCTCCCTTAAACATAAGCCACCAAGCCGACGGCAGCCAAAGCCGATGAGCCGACGACCACCCATGCGATCTTGATAAACTGAGACCTACTATTCAGCGTGTATCCAGTGGAGGAGACAACGTATCTGATGCCATTAAAGAGATGGAAGGTGAAGGGCCAGGCGACAGACAACTTGAGGAGGAACTTGGCGGCCACCGGCAAAGAGCCAAAGGCGGCGACGAGGGCGGCCGAGGAGAGATCCCAGCCGAGCCAGGGGGCCACCAGGTAGGAGGTGCCGAAGAGGTACAGGCTGCCGGCGAGGAGAAGCCCCGTGTTTCGCTCCAGGGCGGAGCTGACCGAGTGGACCTGCCATTTATAGATGGACAGATGGGGCGCCACGGGCCGCCGGAGGCGTTGGCGGGCGAGTTCTTCCTGGGTGGATTCCGGCTTGATCACTCTCAGTGGTGTCGTGACGGGCTTCGTGGCCTGCATCCTGGAGGGAGAGTTAGGTTGATTAACGCATAATCTCCGCTAAATCTACCGCATATCATACCGAACGTGTTGTTGCCGCGCCAGACCCATGATAGGCGTAAATGTAATAGACGGGATTGCTACTGCGGCGCGGCGTACACCGAACATAGGCGACGCTGCGGACTGTTACATAACGAAGAAGGGAGCAGACGATACAACGGAAGGCTCACTCTTCTGCATCACCATCATATTTTTTTGGATGGACCCCGCCATGGTGAATGGGGTGAGGAATTCTTCACGAGGAACAGAGAGAGATAGAGAGGGAGTTGGGAATGGAAAGAAAGGAAAGGGGAAAAAAGAAAGAAAGAGAGAGCATTGCAGGGATAGACAGCCTAGTGTTGCGCCGCTGTTTGATCCCTGCTAACTTGGTTTATCTGGTCTTGTCACAGTTTAACCAAGACCTTGCATTACAATTAGACTGGTTGTGGATTGGATATGGCCTGATCCGCACTATATTTGACCCAACCTATTCAACCCACCCTCATATGATCATATCCATGCGGATCGGATTGCGGATAATAGGCATATGATCGTCCTAATCGCCGTTATCTAAAATCTAAAATCTACCTTAACTTCAGTATTTTATAGTAAATCTAATATCTTATTTACAAATACATAGGTAGATATGATTATTCTCTATCCATAGATATAAATATACGCCTATCTAGGCCTAGTTATGGTGGAATAAGCCAATGAGTCCTAACAGGCCTTAGCTCACATGTACCTAATGGGTTAACCCATATCCACATAGATTAGGCCGGTTCAACCCATATCCACATCCTGATCCAATCCAAAGTGCAGATTAGGTGGATTGGATATGGATTTGCGAATTGGGCCAACCAGTCTAATTACAGGTATGAAGGTACCAGGTAATTTATGTATTCCTAAAATGTGATACACAAGTTTTGACCCAAGCCACTTTGCCTCTAACTTGATTAGACAAGAAACAATCATTAATTTAATCCAGCTTATCCTTATCCCTTAGTCAAAGCCTTCTTCCCACCCACCATCTTCGCCACAAAGGCCAGAACACCCCGAACATCATCACAGCCGCACTAAAGATCTGGACCTGGAGGAAGCCACCGTAGTCATTAAGCAGCGCGCCGTTAATCGGTGGGCCAATAAGAGTGGCAACCGACATAACAGCCATCCCCATTCCAATGTAAGTGCCGATTTCCTGAGGATGCCCGGCACAGTTAGCAATCGCGGCCGGGGTGATACCGATGATGCCGCCGGAGAAGAAGCCGTAGAGCACGGAAAAAACGATGATGCTCGCGTTGGTGGTCATGCGGATCCAGCAGAAGGTGATGATGGCGGTGATAATGCTAACGGTCGAGAGCATGTTGTACGGTCCGATTTTGTCCCTGCGCTACCAAGGGACCACCCGGCCCACGCAGTAGTAGTCCGAGCAGCAACATGCAGCATGCACGTAGGAACTGGAGCCCGGTTCCCGCTGGCAGAAACGCTGCAGACAATGGACCTCAATTGGTTGCAGGCCCTAGAAATAATCAACCTAAAGCCCTAATAACTGTAGCAAACATCAGCCTTTACTGAGATTGACATTGAACCAGATCACAAGAAAGCTATGGATAAAGCCTCTGTCAGACAAAAAATAGTGGGTATTACTATTTCCTCTGATGCATTAGGCTAACATAATAAACTAGGTGCAGTGGTAGTAGTCCTTAACTATAAGCAAAAGATTCTGTACTCCTAACAAATCTGTATTAGGTTAATGGAATATTAGTCAGTATATGCTACAGAGCTTATGGTGATTTACTATGCCATCAGCCTAGTATACTAGATTGCCATAGAAAACCAAAATACCCTAGTAATAGAGCTTAAACTAGCAACTATCCTTAGTGATAGTATGTCATCCCTGCAGGCCATAGCAAATATATAAAAAAAATCCAGATAGTATATCATCCTGGCCATTATCTAATTTGCCAGAAAGTTAAAAGCACATGGGATTCCCCTCCGCCTCTAATGGGTCCTAGGGCATTGTGGCGACCCTAGAAATAAGGCAGCTGATCAACTAGCCAAAGAAGCAGCTAGTCTAGATAAGAAACACCCCTTTTAGTATCTTCTCTCATAAGAAATGGGATACATCCGCAAAAGAATCCAAAAGGAATAGGAACAGGAATGGAAAACATTAAAGAAAGGCAGCTACCTTTATTGAGTAGACACAAACCTACCCTTAATCTGTACATAATAGATGTATGGTTTACTCCCCTAAAATTAAGCCTACTTGCTCACCTAACTCCAAACCAGCCACTTATGGCTAGCAACACATGGCAAACTACACCACTTCAGGGAAGATGATAAGTGTGAATATAGGGCCTCAGAAATAGTGGTCCATGTTCTAATAGACTGCCTGAGGTTAACGGCCCTACAGGCAAACTATAAAGGCAAATTGGGACTGCATTCAATGATATCTTAGGTATACTGGGAGGAGGGTCTCAAGGTAAGGAAGGTAAGAAGGATGATATGCAAGACAGTAGCATCTTAGGTGCAGTACTGGACTTTGCAGAGGCATCACAGAGGTTTCAAAGCCACGCGCCACAGGGCCACTGAACAGAACACTAGGCATGTAGGCCACTACAGGCCGTGACAAGGCTCCAAAGTCAGCGGGAAGTAATGGTTTATTGTACATAGACAGACATAAGGACTAGATAGTTGTCTCCTGCATATTGCCTAGGCGAGGGGTCAGGGTATGAATTCATCATCATCATCATCATCATCATCATCTGATGAGTCGTCAGACACTAATTTATATTAAAAGAAATTAAAAGAAATTAAAAGAAATTAAAAGAAATTAATGCTTTAGAAAGGGCTTACGCCTGTTGGCGAATCCAGGACCTAAGCGTTATCAAGAATTACTCTCTAATATTTTTTTGCTTAAAACACTGGGGATTATTCCTGCTTTGCATGGTAATGTTTTTGAAAGAAAGGATAGAAACTTGTAAGGAATAACTCAACATGTTTGTCTATCTCAAGGGTAAATAAAACTCTTTTTAACAGCATACTTCTAGTCTTCTAGATGCCCGTACCGTGCGGTATGGGTTCCCTAGTTATAATGACATGCTAATCCTTGATGAGTCTCTTGATCTTATATCTAACCTCGCATTTAAAAGCATCTCCCCTTCAGAAGCACGTACTTATGCGAAACAACCAGCACACAAGCGGCGACTGATCCAGGGGAGGTAGTCAACTGCGATCAGGGCTCAGCCTTTATATCCATTTCGAGGACTGATCACGCCCTTCAAGCACAGCTACAGCACGTCCACCAAAAGAGCGTTACTCCTTCTCTCGGACCTCCTCGGTCTCCTGGGCGCTGTCACTGCTGAGGCCAAGCTCCTTCCTCTCAAGCATACCATGATCATTAGTATCCAAGCCCAGCTCGCGAGACTGTTGGACAATCTGTTCAAAGCTGAGCTTGGGCAGGGCGTGGGCGACCTTGAACGGCATCTTCCCTTCGACATGGGCTTTGGCGTAGATGATGTCGACTTCCTCAAGCTCACGGCCGGCTGTCTCGACATAAAAGAAGTAGCCGAATATCAACCCGACAAAGTTAAATAGTGCGAAGAAGAGATAAACACCCCATGGGCTCTGGCCGGCGAAAAGCGGAGTGAACATGACCACGGCAAAGTTACACATCCAGTTGGTACAGGTTGACGCCGATGCGCCCACAGTGCGGGTACGGAGGGGGTTAATCTCTGGCGGGTAGATCCAGGGCAGTGGCAAGAGAGTGAACGCAAAGAAAGTGATGAAGAGAAAGATACCAACAGCAGCACCCTTAGAATTCTCCTCGGTTTCCTTGATTAGGCAAGCGAACGTAATAACAAAGCTAAGCCCCTGGCCTAGAAAGCCAATCAAGTATAGTTTGCGACGGCCGACTCTTTCAATCATAAAGAAGGACGGGATAGTCGCAAGGGCGTAAACAGTCGCGAATACTCCGCCCATAATTAGCGACAGATATTTCTCCAAATGGAGGTTCTCTTGGAAGAGCAATGTCGAGTAGTAGATAGCAGCGTTACAGCCAGTAAACTGCTGGAAGAACTGACCAGAGCAACCGATAAGCAGGCGCTGGAATTCCTGGGTTTTGCCAAATGTGAAAACCATCTTCCAGTTTGACTGTTCGCTCTTTGAGGATTCCATGTCCGTTTTGATAAGGTTGAAGTCGTGAAGTACTTGATCAGAATCAGGGGAGGTGCCCTTGAGCTTACCAAGAACTTCACAAGCCTCCTTGTCAAGTCCTCTCGATACAAACCACGACGGGGAATCCGGGAGCATCAAGGCACCCGTGGCCACAACCAGAGCGAAAAAAATCTGGAGCGCAACAGGGAATCGCCACTGGACGGAATCTGCGGCATGCGAGATACCGAAGACCACCCAGTAGGCAATGAACGTGCCGCCGGCGATCATCGCGCCCTCGAAACAGACAAGGAAGCCGCGATTGTGAGCGCCGGAGCATTCTGATTGCCAGACCGGGATCGTGGCCGTGTTCATGCCATTTCCAATGCCCGATACAACACGGCCAATAACAAACTGACCAACTTCCCATTTACCAGTGAAGCAGACCGTTGTAAGCAAGGCGCCAATGATCAGGATACTAGCACCCATGAAGATCAGGCGGGTGCGGCCGAGGCTATTGCCGAAGAACATGGAGAATAACGCGCCGAAGAAACAGCCAAGCTCATAGCAGGATGTAACAGCACCGCGGATGACGTCGATGTAGTGTTTCTGCCCCGCAGTCGGATTCTCGGGCATTTTGAGGATTGGGAAGGAGTTAACAAACTCGTCGCCGTTAAGGAGGCCGGCCATCATGCCCTGATTGTAGCCAAAGAGCGAGAAACCCACGACAGCGGCGAAGGTGATGCTCAACCGGAGCGACCGACCACTCAAGCCGCTGGTAGTCGTCCACATGTTGATGGTAGGAACGAAGTAAGGGCCGTCAGTTTGCGGGGTGGAGTGGGGTTGAAAGAAAGCTGGGGAAAAGGTAGTAAGGAAGGAATGTGTACGTGGGAGCAGAAATATTCGCGGTCTTATATAACAATACGGACTTCTACTGCAACTTTCGTCGGACCCCAAACAGGAAGGTCCAGCGAAGTTCCCGTGGTGGAGATATGCCAAGGAAACCCACTCTCTTGGCACGTTGCGAAACCACTTGGTAGGGCGTCCCACGTGGGATACAATCACGTGATACTCATCCAATCATCAATATCAATGATAATGAGCGCAAGACTCTATTGGCTCAAAGCCACGTGATCACTACGGATCCACGTAGGAAACTTTTTGGTGCACGCCCTCTGTCCTTTGAACTCTTCAGGTCGACTGGTCAGGGGCGTAGATGACTACTCTTGAGGCCGCCAGGCCTGATTTCCAGTGTCCACTATAGATTCAGGCTTCAGCATATAGCTGGATCACTAACTTAACATTCTACCGCCCTTTCCTCTCCGTAGTGATGGATTCATGAGAGCCCATCCCCCTTTGGGCTTTAGGACTTCCTGGGGTTTTGCTCGCTGGAGTGCATGCTTGTTCTCCCAGGGGTCTACAGATCCATTTAGATCTTTCATCCATCTTTCATTCTCGCTCTTGTTTCCTGTGCTGGCACCCTGGAGCATCGCGTACTCTTCCCTTTGGGACATGGTATATGCATATTATGCAACCTAGAGCCGCCAAGGTCTCGTCGCCCCAGTATGACGTCAAGAATCTTTTGCCAAGTTCTCAAGTCAGCGCTAGCAGAATGTGCCCCGCTATTTGCAAATCTTCGGGCCAATGACATCCATATACTTTGTGGCGAAACACATGGCTCACCAGCTGGGGTAATTTCGCTTAATTTTATCTTCGTGGCAAGTCAGCCACCCGCCACGCTAACAGGTTGGTTCGCGCCACATAGATCACAGCGGGGCTCTTCGCGTCTGGGGCTGAGTAAACCGCTTCTCTTCGGTGAAACTGATAGAGAGAGATCAAGCAGCTAAAGCGAGAGTTTCAGGATATAGTCAGGGTTATCATTCTTCTTGCTACTCCACTTTCAGTCACTCCTCTTGCACAGCTGCTTAACTTGCCAAGAGATGATATTAGTAATTGCTTGGATGGATTTCATTCAGTTCTCCACGTGCCAGAGGATATAAAATCACTGGTACACATCCTGCACTTATCGTTCCGCGATTATCTGCTGGTCACGGAAAGCCATTTCCACGTGGATGAGAAACAGACACATGAGAGAACAGCGTCGCATTGTCTACATGTCATGGACACTAGCCTCAAACACAATATCTGCAGTCTAGCAAGTTATGGAACACTGCGCATGGATATAGACTATCAGGCCGTTAACAAACACCTGGTGGCTGAGTTGGAGTACTCCTGTCGTTATTGGGCGTACCATCTTCGGCAAAGCGGAGGATGTCTTTCTGAGTCCCAGGTATTATCCTTTCTTAAATGACACTTTCTTCACTGTTGGAGGCGCTCAGTTTAATTGGGATCATATCTGAGGCTGCGGGGATCATAGAATCACTGCAGTCAAGTGTGTGGGTAAGTCTCTATACACTCTGGAGTTGAGTAATAATGGCTTATAACCCAAATAGATGACTGTGAGTGCTGAGTTTTCAGAATTTCTTCATGATGCAAGGAGATTTTACTCTTAAGTACGCCTATATTGCTAGTATTGCTCCGCTCCAGCCCTACTGTTCCGCCCTAGTATTTTCACCTTTGCGAAGCACTATCCGGCAACTGTTTATTGATTGCGTTCCCAAGTGGCTACTTACACTCCCACAAGCGGAAGATTCATGGAGTCTAGACTTACAAACACTTGAAGGCCATTGTAATTGGGTTGACTCAGTGGCCTTCTCCCCGGACAGGCAAACACTGGCCTCGCGTTCCAGCGACAACACCATCAAGATCTGGGACATAAAGACAGCACGGGGCTGCAGACTCTCAAGTGCCATTCTGATTTAGCCCAATCTGTGTCCTTTCCCCCTGACGGACGAACACTTGCGTCATGATCTAGTGATAGCACCACCAAGATCTGGGACACAAACACTGGCACAGAGCTGCGCACACTGAAGGGTCATTCTAATTCGGTCCGATCTGTGGCCTTCTCCCCTGATGGACAAATGCTAGCTTCAGGCTCTGGTGATGACACCATCAAGACCTGGGATGCCAAGGCTGGTACTGTGCTGCAGACTCTCAAGGGCCATTCTGATTTTGTCCAATCTGTGGCCTTCTGCCCTGACGGACAAGCACTGATCTCAGGCTCCAGTGATCACACCATCAAGATTCGGGATTTCAAGTCTGGCACCGAGCTTCAGGCGCTCAAGAACCATTCCAATTCGGCTCAATCTGCGGGTGTCTCCCAATTAGTGGCCAATATGGGGCATACTGGAACTATATTCTACAGTATTCCGCCACAAAATAATAATTATGACTCAACATCACACAGTTCCAAATCTACAGTATCTTTATCAAATAGCTGGCTTGTCTTAACAGGTGAAAATCTACCATGGCTCCCTCCTGAACATCGTCGATATACCTGTTTTGCTTTAAAGGATGCCACCCTTGCCATGGGATATTATGACGGGCGGGTTTCTATTATAGGATTCCACTCGCCATAGATTACGTTTTTTCGTACTCAACTACTCTATTATTCCCCAATACCTATGTAAAATGGAGGCCTGAGATGTCTGAGCGTCGTATGATTCCAATTCACATAGATTTCTGAACAAATTCTATGTGATCTCTGATGTGATGCGGCAAGTTTGCCACAGATTCTAGAGCTAGAGATTTCCGCGCCAAGGTTGTACAGCGCCGAATTTACTAGCACCTCAAATTCTTCTTGCATTAATATGCTGACAACAGTACAAACGATCCCAGGAAATTTATTTTCTCTCACCATTGGAACTATAGTATAGTCTGTTCTCATATTAGGTTTACAGAAACTATGGAAGAGTGTACAGTGGTGACAGCAGATTCTGGGAACATTGTAGCCTTGTAGACAACAATATTAGCCACTATTCAATGCACGCCCTTATCTCCTCCTCTGTTTGCATGCATTCCGAAAGTGGTCCTCAGTGCTCTCCATTCTTGAATCCACATCATCGAAGCACCGACGAAGGAAGATCTTAAAGACTTGACCAGGGTCCTCCTCATATGCTGGTCAAGCTTTCTTGATGTAAACTTTCAGCTCGGCAAAAGTTTAAAATTATATAGTAATTATTAGTAAAAGTAGTTATCCACAATCCAACCTACATGGATTAGAAGGTGGACGACTAATATCATGGGTTGGGTTGAACCCCATGTAGATCAACCCATATCCAACCCACAGCTAGTCTAGACTCTACTATAGGGGATGTAGGGTCCCAGAAAACAAGGACAGCACACATATGTTGGACCTGGACCTTATTCATCAGAGCAGCTATGAAGATCTGACAGATGATACAGATGAGAATCTGTCTCATGATCTGGAAGATTATAATTACTATATAATGAATTGCTATATATGTGGCAGCCCAAAACTAATCTAGAGCTAAGTAATAAAGCTACACTCCATGAAACACTAGTCTGGCGCCCTGACTCCTTTCAGGCAAGTCCTCTGTTGATGCTTGAATTCATGGCGGGGCAATTGTGGCTGGGTGATGGATGAGCTGTTAGTTATTATGCTAGAGTCATAATAAGGTGTTGCTGTAAGATCTGCAGCCCTTTAGGCTGCTTTAATAATATGTGGCTGAGATATGCATAGATGTGACTTATATCATTCAGCTGCTAACCAGGTCCAAGTGGACCTAACCAGATACTATAGGATGAGCAGTCATGCCATTCACAGACACATTATTAATAGGACTGTACTCTGCGGTAAAATCTCAGCCTTTCTTAAATTAGGATGTAATGTACTCTACATAAGCTATATATAGAGTACTTAGGTGCCATAATAGAAGGCCAGAAGGTGTAGATAGATAATATAAGGCTCACTAATTATAAAAATAAATTATAGTAGAACTTACTACTGTGTAGCTGGCATAAGCATGGAACTATTAGTAGCTATAATATTAGGCTTAGCCCTTAGCCTCAGGGCTGGGCTTGCTTAATAATACTAAAGCTAGGATAGATATATTACTCACTCCATGCAGTCCTCTTGCCTCTCCTCTTCTCACTACTACTACACTCCCCTGCTCTAGAAAAATCCTTTCTAACAGCATTATAGAAAGATTATAAATATATTCCCCTTACACCTACTACAACCCAGCCCCCTCTTTCGCTGGTTAAGGCTGTTAGTTTTATTACTAGAACTATATGCACTGACTTAACCCTCACGCTGGTGGTATAGGAGGTCTAGTTAAAGTTACCCTTATTAGAACAGCTACTTACTTTGTCTGCAAAAAGATCTACCAGTGAGTCACTGTTTACTTTCCTCTGTGATGACTATTTGCTAAACCTGGCTCTGACTGCTGTTTGCTTTAAAATAGTGCCGGTGCCCAAAGCAATAATAATAGGCAGACTTCACAATAGCCACTAACCAATCTGATCTCCTGGCAGGAGGGTTGTGGTGATTCCCAAATAGTGTATTTGCAGAGATAAGGTGTCTGATGTTTGTGGGCTTTGTTTTCTTCAAGGGCGTTGCGTATGTTAATAATAGTCTCTTGCTATCATGTGGTTTGGATGAGATTCATTGCGAAGACTAAGAGAAAATTCCATTCTCACCTCTGAAAGTGCCTTAGGCTCGCAGTAGTAAGATCCCAATGGAAACAGACGGACTATTATTCTCAGACTAAGACCCTTACCGTCTATGAGTTAGGGTATATTTCATTCCTTCTGATTCATATATCTCAGTTCGATCTCTGGCCCACCCTGCCCCGAATGGAGACTGTACTGTTTAAGGACAGCCATTAAGGTCAACTTGAACAATGTATCTGCTAAATGCTTCCCAAGACATCGTCCACTCGCCACCCCAACACCAAATTGCATAAACCTGTATCGCAACTTTGAGGACAGAATATTCCAAAACCGTTCAGGGTGATATATATCGCTGTCTTTGCCCCACGTAGCTGGGTCCGCGTTCAGGCGTTTGGCGTCTATCACGACAGGGCATAAAGACAGACCAAAAGTGTATTTGTGACTCCTTTGCATGAGATAATCCCGCTGCTCGCTGTCCATCATCCGCGATGCTCCCCGGAAGTCAGGCGCAATCCTGCTCCGTGCGACGCACGGAATCAGTGACCCAACGGATTTCGGGATACGCGGGCCATCGAAATTGTTACGACGGAGGGCGAATACGAGGACCAGCACTGAGATATCAATGGACAAGAGGACGATGACGATGACCATTGACGGTGTTGAGGGCATCATGCCCCAGAGCTTCGTGATGATGGCTCCATCCACCGCGGGGGCTATCAGGGGACCGGTAACGGTCGAAGTATATATTTCTGGCGAGTGTAAGGTAGCTACTGAAGATTGCCCTGTAGGTGGACTGGGGCGGCACGGATGAGGAACTCCGGCTGGAAGGAGTCCAATGTTGGGTTCGATAGCTCGTATGCAAAGGCCGTCAGGTGCCCCGGCCAGTCATACTGGTAGAAGGACGAGTCGCGGTGTGCAGGGAACTTCTGTTCGATGCTGGCTAATGCCTTCGCCAATACTTGGACCGCAATCAGGGCCTCGTTGTCTCCAAAACGACTGCCGAACTGCCGAAGAGTGTCTCGGTGGCTTATATCTACATACCGACCCCACGGCTGTGGCAGTGCTGGCCGTGACGCTGTGGAACTTTAGCGCATCCGACGTTCTGAGACTAGAGCCATATTTCCAGTTAGCCAAACCTGAAGGCGTTGCTGCAACAGTGCTCTTCACCAGCTACAGTTTCTGCTACGGCCTCATGGCCCCCCTGGTGGCGGCTCGCAATCGTCATTGGCTTGTATTCTTCACCTCCTGTCTGTCGATCCTCTTGCGGATCTTCCTCGCCTCTCTTCTCTCCGGCCTGGTGGTTCTAACAAGTGACCACCACCGAGTCGAAATTGGTTTGGACCTGGCCAGATCTGCTTGACGTGGATACCCAGAAAGCCTGGTTATCCAGCGAGACCTTTCAGCCTCAAGCAAATGCCCCGGTGAAGGTCACTGTTGACGACGTTTTCCTACTGCGATCGTCTGACTATGCCACGGCCGCTGTGTCAATGCCCTCGACGAGAACGACACGTCATTGCTGTCGCTCAATCAGACCGTGTATCGGGCCGAGCTCGCCTGCCAGTAGGTGGCCCTAGCGGACCTTGAACCCCCAGATCGTGGCGTCTTCTGGAACATAAGCGGGATGGAGTTCCCGTCACTGGGCGACGGCAATGCAGCATCCACATGCTACGTTGACGTTTCCCTCGGCAACATCACCGCAAACCGGGGCGCTTCTTCTCAGGTGCGGTACTGGGAACCTGTCCATTTCCGAGACTCGATTCCCCGTCCCGTTCGCTTTTCGTACCCGCGGTTGCCAATCGGCCGCCCTGTTTGGGATCCTCCTTGACCTAGATATGGATGTGCACGGCACGTCTGACCCTGGGACCTCCAATGCCACTGCATTTGCATGCACCGCTACTTACACGTCTGCTGAGGCCGAGCTCTTCATCAGCGTCAACGGCTCTATAGCTGAAGTCAAGGTCCACCCTTCCACTGAGCGCAGTCTGACAAGCACGGACTTTGCCCATGAAGAGTTTCAGCACCTTCTCTTTTCGGAATTTCACTCGAAACCCCTTGCAAAGCTTGGGACCCGAATGCCATAGCGGCGGATGGTATAGACCCGCCAACAGCGTCAAATTCTACAGCTGGGAACGACGTCGCCCAATACCAGGATGCAATCACCCGCTTTGGAAACAAAACTTCATTATCACAATGAGCAGACTTTTCAACCTAACTGCAACCCCGACGAAGGTAGATGCACGGAAGGCTACACGCGTTGCGGCTCTAGCGGCCATCTCCAGAACAACTCTGATGGTGGAGACTATCCTCCTTGCGGCAGTTGTGCTGCTCTTGGTATTGGCAGTTCTCTATCCAAGGCGTCTGAACTTCCTTCGAAGCGATCCAGGGTCGATAGCCGCAGAGTGCCGGATTATTGCTGACCTCTTCCTGTCTGATACGGTTCTTGCTCGGTCTGATGCGCAGTTCCATAGCGTCACGACAAGACAGCTCCGCCTGTGGTCCAAGAATTTCCGGTGCGAGTGGACGGGCAGGCCGTCCGAGAGAAAGATCAATATCGTTCCCTTGGGTCGACCTCTTTATTCACAAGTTTTGGCCCTCCCAACAACCCGAGGAGGACAAGACCCCGGGCCGCATTTCTTGGTCCCGCACTGGTTCCTGGTTGAGTGCGCGTTGCTGATTGGGATCTTGGTTACCTTTGGCCTCGCGCTCAGCTCGCTTCGAGTGAATGATATTAACGACGTCACGCCACGGGAGCTGACGCTCACGATCTTTTTGATCTATGGTCCAACAGTCGTGTCCTCTGTGATCAGCTCGCTGCTCGCATCCATCCTCCGCCACCTCAGCGTATTGGAACCATGGGTGCGCCTGTAGAGGGGCATGGCCTCTGCGACGGACTCACTAGCACTGAACTATGGCTCGCAGTTTCCAGTCCGCAAAAGTGGCACCGATGGTGGTCTGATCCGGAGATCCATTGCATATCTTCTACCCACTGCGGACTCTCCGGCCTCTCCCTGCCAGACGTCAATCTTCATCCTGGCCCGGTGGGCAACAAGGAATCCCGCCCCAATGACCAGCAAGAACTCGCTGGCGCTGTACTGTACGCCGTCCATCCAGATCAATGAATTTGAAGTCCTCTTTGATGACCAGGGAACAATCGCTTCCTACAAGCACGCAGCTGCTACGACTGACCCACGCGGGCAAATGTTGCGCAACGCGTCTGAGAGCCTGGGACATTTCAACCGGGCACTCAAGGGCAATAGAGAGGAGGAAGAAAAGCGCAGCCTGCGAGCAGAGGAAGGGAGCCTGCAACGGTGAGGGTATCCAGCCTCGGTCTTGAGCTGCGGTGCAGTCATTTTGGTCCTGTTTCTGGCCCTCTGCAGACCGATGGTTGCTGTCTTTTGCGACCATACTTTCTCACCGAGAAATGGGTTTCTCAATCGACCTGGTGAGTAATAGCCTGCCTTGTTTCCCTTGACATCTCTTCCCTGACTCCTGCCGCATCGCTATCATCAAGAAAAGGTCTAGCATAAGTAAAGATCATAAGTCCGGATTCATTACTAGGCTATACGAAAGACCCTCCGAATTCATTGAAATTTGCTGTGATCAAAGATTACTTTTCTATATCAGCAAAACCCCGGCCCGTTAGGACAGAGTAGAAGAAACTGGGAGATATGCGGTGGCTTGGAAGTACTAAGCTGAAGGAAGGTCCGCCTAGCATGATTTACTCGAACTTTTAAGGAAAGATAAATTTTCAGGGGTCTGAAGGTTCCAGCAATGCAGTGGAACATGGCCATAGGCAGCATGATAACGTGGATAGAAGCAAGCGCTAAGTAGGCCTGTTTCAGCCAGCTGAAAGACCTATTTTAGGGGTTATCAGCCATTTTCGGCCTGATTTCTTTCTTTCTCACAAGTCTTGAATCATGACAGTAAGCTTATAAGCTTATAGCAGGTTATCCACCAAGTGCACAGTCACTTAATGAAGCCTCTAATCTGATTTATTTAACTAGTTATAAACTCTTGGTACCCTGATCAATCCCCCTGAAACCTTCGTCCCTGAATACAGTGCGTTAGCTAAAGAGTGCTAGCTGAATTAGCAGGTCTAAGCAGAGTTCTCGACTCCACATAAAGCTCCATTTATCTACGCAGTCTTTGCAGTCTAGCCTCAACAAACAGCCTAGAATTTAATCTCTTCAGATTCTCATCAATCTTATCTAGCTTAGCTTAAGGTTCAGGCGAGAATTACGCAGAAAGTTACTATTAGCCTCTAAATTTATTGGAGAGCGCATTGATAGAGCTCGTCTCAGCACCCATCAATAGGCATGCCACGACACCTATGCCAGAGCCAATAGGGCCCACTATTAGATGGCTGTTGCCTAGAACACCGGAATATATTATATTAGGTAGGCCTAGGCCTTCCCCACCGCTAAATCCCGTTAAGCTTAACTGCAATGGCCACGTACAATACTAAGGGGGTCTAGGTCCACGTACCAGCTCCTACAATCGATCATAGATATAGATAGTTCAGGGCAACGACAAAGCAAGCAAGTGGAAATTTTTTTGGCCTCTTTTCTGACTACTAGCCTATTGCTCTGTTGGTGCTGCCAATTCAGGTACCTTAGGTATGGGTAATGGAAATGTGCTTCGGCTGAACGAGAGCTTGAATCAACTTGAAATAGATACTCTGATACTGACATACATGGATGCATGATATTTCTTGAGGAATATCATAGCTGCAAAGACTGTAATGCATTTCAAAGCAAAATGAAGACCCCTTCACAGGTCGCAGTAGACCTGAGCCAATGCCAGACGATGAGACGACGCATCATTCGTCTGTTGGTGGCCAACTAAGTCTCCCTCGCAATCCTGTTGTCGCAGTTAAGAAGCCCAACTATTGTTAACATCGACGGCCTAGTGAGAAACGCGAATTGCAAAGAAGTGAACCTCCGTGGGACCATTGCCCTGGTTATAGTTGCCGGCCTTGAAGTAGCTATCCGGGTTATCAAGGTCAAAGGTGTCGAGTTTCTGGAATGCCTGGCCATTGAGGCTAACGGATAGAATACCCTTCTCGTACCGGATTTCGTAGGTGAATCTCTGGCCTACAGGGACGTGGCCGACAGTGAATGTATCCTGTCCGCAAGTGCGGCATCGGTTGACGCCCATCGTCAAATCACCTTTGGAACTATAGTAAAGCTCGCAAACGGGCTTCGTGGAGATGGAGCCATCGATGTGGATCTGGCCAACCACAACTCGGTCGTCCTTGATTTGTTTTACGATCAAGTCGCCAAACAGCCGATTCTTAGAAGCAGAAGGACTCCACTTGGAAGGACTATTCTCACGCAGCTCTGTGCGGCAGTGTTTGCTGTTGGGGGTCGTAACACAATCGGTGGTTGACGTAGAGCCGGGGACCTTCATGACGAGGGAGCCATCGTCGGGGCTGGTAAAGAAGTATTCGGACTTGTAACCATTGCAGCCCTTGAGCTCGGAAGCAGAGACCTCGTCTGGTGACCCGGCCTTGCCAGTTGGGAGCTGTAGTTTCCACTTGGATAGATCAAAAGTACCACCAGGAGCGCAGGCTGAGCCTTGTGCCATGGTCATAGGTGAGAAGTGGACAAGCACGAAGAGAGCGATAGGTATGAGGTTCTTAATCGCCATGGTGTTTATTTCAAGAAGACAAGCTGCGAGGATGAATCTCAGAGAATTGTTGAAAGAAGACGATTGATGAGTGTGGTTCTGCATATGTTCGTTCTCAAGAAGTCGCGTTATATGGAGGCATTAAATATCAATGCATAGGCCAGTATATCTCTATCCTCGAGGCTCGCCCCAGCAGTTTCAGGGCCCTAATGTCGACATCATGCGATACTACTTTAATTAAAGGAGCTTTCCTGGCGCAGCACCATTCTGGAGAGGGATCATCGTCCCTCAGCGGCTCTGAAACCCGCCACGGGAGACATATGCCAGGTGGGACAATACCTGACGGATTATCTCATTTACGTCAATAAGAAAGAGCGTACGGATCTGATTACTCTATGACACCCTTCATAACATAAATGATCTGCAATGTTCTTGCCCGCAAGATATATTTTCCACCAACTGAGACAATCTGAATCAACGAAGCTTCTGTTAGCCGCGGATAAGAATAATATTGGCTCGGGGGTGCCGACGCTCTTTGGACTAGCGGCAATTGAGTCACTTAGCTAAGTCTAACGTTACATTTGGGTCGATTGGTCGTATAAGTAGGTATGATAGCTCCTGCGCCATGTCTGGGCATCAACCCGTGCGAAAGGGTCATGGCTCTCTGTCCACCAAGTTTGCGGCAGAGGACTTGCCCTTTCGGGTTCACACTTCTTCCCCGCTTCTCCACAGTCCAGAACAGAACCCCGGTTTCTCCGCACATGCCGGCAGCTACAGTAGCCTCTAATAATAGCCCTAAGTGCCGATGCAGATCTCGCAGCTCAATTGCCGATTTCCCTGTCCTCCTCTTCCCTGATCGAGGATGAGCGCAACAGCCTTTGAGTTCCCTACCCCACGCTTATGTCTAGTTGTAGTTTCTCTGCCGTAATTCAAGTAGTGGAAAAATCTATCATTTGCATCGTCAGTCAGTCTATCCGCTTCCACCAACCATAAGCATGTACAGTACGAGCTGGAAAAGGATATACAGCTATATTTATAGAGCTAGAAGCAAGATTGACTCGAATGGAAACCAACTCATCGATTCTTCAGATACACCTGTTGACTCGTCTACTCTTTCCCATGGTTTAAGATGAAGCTCCTTTTGATCTCCTGTCTCAACCTCTTCGTATCACTCTCTAGCTCCCTCAGTCTTCCCAATGGCCACGGTCGTCACGGCCCCATCCCAAAGACTGTTGTGATTGACGGCGCCCGTCTCGTTGAGAATAAACTGCGCCTCCGAGCTGGCGACGCGTCATTCACAGTCGCTCTTGATCATCTCACCGCCGAAGCTGATAGCTGGCTAAGCCAGGGCCCGTGGACTGTGACCTCCAAAACGCAAGCACCTCCTAACGGAACAATCCACGACTATGCATCCCAAGCACCGTACTGGTGGCCCAGCAATACCACTGATGGCTGTCCCTACGTAGACCGGGATGGCGAGCGCAACCCCGAAGTTGAAAAATACCCCGACCACAGTGGACGTGATTCGATGTTTAGATCCAGCTACATACTGTCCCTCGCATGGTACTACACAGGGCAGACCAAATATGCCAAGCATGCCTCGCTTATCCTGGAGACCTGGTTCATCGACCCCGCCACGGCTATGACGCCTAACCTGCGCCACGCGCAGATCATCCCTTGCCGCAATGATGGCCGTTCAATCGGCATCATCGACTTCAGCATGGAGTACACCAACGTCCTGGACGCAGCTGCCATCCTTGCCTCGACCAATGCTCCAGGCTGGACAAGAGCGAACCAGCGAGCGTTCATGAACTGGAACCGTCAGTTTCTCGACTGGCTAGTCGACTCGCCTTTTGGCAAGGAAGAGGCAGGGCAAGAGAATAACCACGGCACTTTCGCCAACATGCAGATTGCGGCGCTTGCTCTCTTCACCGGGAACACGTCACTCTCGAAAAAGACATCCCAAGGAGCAAAGTCTCTTATCGACATCCAGATCCGGCCTAATGGCTCCCAGCCGATGGAACTCGCGAGGACGCGCAGCTGGCACTACTCCAATTTCAACCTTGGAGCACACCTGCGCTTTGCGCTTGTCGCCAAGAAGGTCGGCGTAGACCTGTTCGGTTATAGGGGGCCGGGGGACAGAGTCTGTTTGGAGCGACGAATTTCCTGTTGAAGGCGGCTGCGGAAGGGAAGAGCGCATGGGGATTCGAGGAATTGGAGTTTAAGCCGTACGCAGCAACTGATAATGTACACGCAGCAGCTGATGCAGGAGACAGTAAAGCCCAGGCGGTTGTGCCTCAGCTCCCACCGCCGCCAACTGGGGATATTTACGTGCTCAGACCGGCTGCCGAACAGTTGGATAATATTGCTGGCTAGATCATCCTGAGAATTGGAACAGGCATCTAGTTATTTTGGTTAGACTCGAGAAGCACCTTGGAAAGATAGGTTTGTGGGACCTTCATGTTGCTTGAGAGATGTTCGCTAGCGAGCTCGTAGCTGCCGGGTCTATAATATAACCGTGTTAGTAGTTTGTAACCATCCAGAGGCACTCCCCGCAAAATCCGTCATTTTAAGCATTAGTGGTACAAGGGGCACACTATTATTAGCCAGATAAACCATCTCCCTTCCGGGCCAAGCTTTTTCTTGCCCCTGCTTCAGTGGTCTGATCTGGCAAGTTCGGCATCCGAGCCGAAGACTCGGGCTCCGCGGACTGCGAGAGAAGATGAGGTCCAAGTTCGATAAACCAATTTAGTTATTTAAACAACCCACAGATATTGTTTTGACAGAAGTCGTACGATCAATTGGAGTACTTGCAATAGGCCCCAGTCTTTTTCTAAGGTTGCAGTAGATTGAGATGCTGCATAATCGGTTGAATATGACAAACATGATTCCCCATAATTATTACCCGCCAACTCTTCTTCTGCCGCATTATGCAGCCAACAAGACTTCGGTCTTGTCATTGATTGCTCAATTTGGCTTCCTCTGGGCCGCTGTACTGGGGATAGCCTTTATTGTCATTAAGCGACTGCGCCCTGCTGTCAGTCGGTCAGATCAATTGTCTTTTATATGGATGTGCTTAAGTATGTTACCCTGTTTGAACACAAATGGAAGCGGTGCTGACGAATATGGAAATAAATAGCGGGATTCATCCACCTGTTCTTTGAAGCACACTTTGTGGTTTATCATGAATCCCTCGCCGGCTCCCAGGACTTATTCGGCCAGCTATGGAAGGAATACTCCCTCTCTGACTCGCGTTACTTGACCTCAGACGCATTCCTCGTCTCGATGGAGGCAGTCACGGCGGTACGTTCTGAGATTAAATGTCAGCTAACTTGAGCTAAATTGCCCATAGTTCTGCTGGGGACCCCTCGCATTTTTCATCGCATATTGCATCGCAGTCCATCATCCCCTCCGTCATGCTCTCCAGCTCATTATGTCAACGGGACAGGTCTACGGGGATGTTCTTTACTACGCCACGAGCTTGTTCGACCTCTATTTCCATGGAGTGACGTTCTGTCGGCCGGAGGGCTACTACTTTTGGTTCTACTACTTTTTCATGAACTTTATTTGGTTTGCGATTGGCTCCTGTTCGTCAACCCCCGGACTGTGTCCCTGCAGTATCTTGTCGGTTACTGATGTTTCACAGACCATGTGTACCAAAGTGTTGTGGAGATCACTCGTGCTTTTCGAAGGCTTGGGGAACGTGATCAGAGACAGAAAGGGAAATAATGCATCCACATGAGCAGCAACTTTCGCCTGTTAGTCAGCCATCGATATCCGTTTGAATGACTATATAAAGAAACAAAAGCTACACAATATTCCACTGACCTGGTATAAGTTTGACGCTCTCGGAGGCACAAAAATTGTGATAGGTAACGGGAGGCCATTACTAGATAGCCTACTGTATATATTTAGAGATAACCCAATTAATGTCTAGTTTTTGTGTTATATCTTGGACTAATTAGATCTGTCATAGGTTAGTATAAAATAGCTAGTCTGCACGGCACTGATAAATATGTACACACATGCATGATGCAATCATCATTTTGAGTCTAAGGACTGACTGCAACCTAGATCTAAGCACTCTGGGTTATTCTAACAAAAATCGTCCTCGTGGACGAATTTATTTGCGCAAAATCTGCTAACTATATCTAAGGCCGCTCCCACATCCCTGGTTCTATTGTATTACCTCATTCTGTCCAGCCATGGCATCGTAAATAGAGCTGTTATATGTTTACGACCGATGATATTTGCCCTTTACCTTACACAGTTCCGTTTGGGACCAAAATGAGTTGACAACGTTCTGGACGAAATCCAAATTAATACCTGCGATAGAAATCAAACAGCTAACCGTTCATTCAACAAACAGGTCTCCGTGGCGCAATTGGTTAGCGCGTCTGACTGTTAATCAGGAGGTTGGAAGTTCGAGCCTTCCCGGGGACGAATTTTTTTTGTTTTCTTTTTCCCTCCACCGGCCCTCATCTGGGGGTCGCGTTCAAGCATTCACTTTTAATTTCCCCCTCTTTCCTCGTACTCAAAATATTTGAATGAAAGTTGGAATCTAGCTGTAGCCCGTCAAGACTATATTTAGGATGTTCCGAATTATTGATTCAGCCGAGTTTGAGGCTGCTGATGACCCGGTTAATTTTATGCTCCAGGGAGATAGTGTACCTTGACCCATTGCACTTCATGGCTGAGCTAAGTTACTCGATCGGTCGGTCGGCAAAGGAGGGGATGATCCGGAGGAGGGAGGGGGCGGGCTGTCATTGATCAGGAAGATACTCTCTATGGGTGTCATGCATGTGATGTCAATGCTACTTGCATATATAAAACCCGACACGCTCCCTTAGAGAGCCCCGTCAAGCCATGCACGGAGATATTCGATGTAACAAGATGGCCACTCAGACAACGCACCTGAACTTCCCTCTGACTGCCTCCACTGACCTTCTGGAGCAATACGTTCATCCACCAGAGACAAAACAGGACGGTGAGTGCTGTCTCATCCGAAGATACTTAGATATGCATCTGAATGTATTACAGTCAAGTATGCAGATCTAGTTACAATTGATCTGTCGGAGTTCGATCAGCCAGGGGGAAAGGAGAAGCTCGCCGCACAGCTAAAGGATGCGGTTCATGAAGTTGGTAATCTTTCCTTCCCTCAGTATCTCTTATCTGACTGCTGACTCCCCAGGCTTCTTCTACGTGACCAACTTTGGGCTCACCCAAGAACAAGTGGACCGCCAATTCGCCATCGCCAAAGAGTTCTTCTCTCTTCCCGAGGAAGAAAGGCGCAGTTTCCGGGCCCCGCTGGAAGAAGGCATCTATAACGGCTACCGGCCTCTGGGCTCGATCGAAATTCTCCCAGGTCTACGCGATAACATCGAGTTCTACAACATTATGAAGTTCCTCCCGCAATATGAGCGAACCCACCCCGACGTAATCCGGCGACACTGGGCGGAGATCGAGAAGTTCCATCGCCATGTGCATGAACACATCGCGTATAGACTATTCCGCCTGCTAGCAATTATCCTGGAGATTCCCGAAGACGAACTCGAAAAGGGTCACATGTATCATTCCAACTGCGACAGCGGCCTGCGATACATGTGCTACCGTGCGCGCTCCGCGGAGGAAAACGAGAAGTACAAAAGCCTCTATTCACGAGGCCACACGGACAACGGCACCATTACCTTTGTCTTCCAGCAGCCTGTGGCGGGGCTACAGGTCAAGAAGTATGATGACTCAGAGTGGGAGTACCTCAGGATTCCTCCGGGTACGACAGCGGTCAATATTGCCGACCTGCTATCCATTCTCTCGAATGGATATCTGAAGAGCGGGGTGCACCGCGTCATTACCCCTCCTGAGGATCAGCAACACCTGGACCGGCTGGGAGTGCTGTACTTTGTCCGTCCGAGCGATCGGCTGACGCTAAGGACGGTGGACAGCCCACTTCTGCGGAGGCTGGGCTACTACAAGGATGGGATCAACGAGATCAACATCCCGGCGCCTGAGTGGACCAGGGCACGGATCAAGAAGAATTGGACCCGATCCCCGACAGATCCAAATGAGGGGACCTCCATGGCTGGGTTTAGTGTGAAGCATTTCCATGATTGACCTGGCTGGTTTTCAGGTGCTTGTGAGAACGAGGGCCAAAGCAATGACTTGATTGGCGACGGAAGTTGCGTAGATTTAGTTAACTCCAAGCTATTGCTGTTACCATCTGAATATAACATTCCATCTCATGCGAGTTCTATGGACTAATGCATAGAGGCTGGCTGAGTTGGCAGCTCGACTAAGTCGAGGATAAAGTACGGAGTACTGCTGAACACACATAATGCGCCGGGCTCAAGGGGTGTGTTAAATCCGAAAACTGACCGTCTATTGGCCCTCTTTTCAAGTGTGGATCGAAGCCATACAAGCTGAACGAGAACCAGTGGGACGTGGGCCAAGTAGGATCAGACTTTATTCAAGAGGGGTAATGCATTAGTTTAACTGCATGTCCCCGCCACACTATCATCACTCACCAATTACCATTGCATGCCGAATAGCTCGAGTGCATCACTCTACAACTTACAATGCACCCTCTTCGCCAATGCAATCCCCCGCAGCATCTCATTCGTAAGGATCATCAACCCCTCATCAGCTCCTATCCCCGGCTTCGACAGCAAGAAATCCGGCCTCGTCGCCAACGCCACATGCGCCGTGATGCGAGCAGACACATCCGTCTCATTCGCAGATCCCCCCAAACAGCATCCGATCCCCTTGCCGTGGCAGTACAGCACCGCATCAATGCTCTGATCGACCCCGCCCAGATCGGGCATTTTGATCTGCACGTAGTCGACCGCATCTGCGTCCGCAAAATCCCGTATGTCCTGCAGCGTGTTGCACCATTCGTCCGCGACGATCTTGACATCAATGCCCTTGCGCTTTAGGCAGGCACGGAGGTCTGCTAGTCGCTGGATCTGCATCGACTTGGATGATGCAATGATGGGCGATTCGATGAGGAGGGCGTAGGGTCGTGCGTGCTGACGTAGCTGGCCTAGAAAATCGGCCAGCCTCGTCGTCTCCGGGAAGACGTCTCCTAGGGTACCGTAGACGTCGAAATGGAGACGGGGGTGGTAGCCTGGGGGTGCGCGTTCCTGGATTCGACGAGCGACGGTGTCCACGTAGTCCATCAACACTGTACCCTGGGGACCTATATCGGAGACATGCACAAACGAGGCGTGGGGGAGCATGGGGGCCTTTTTCATAATCATTCGATCTAGCTGGAGCGTGTCATTGCGGTGGCAGGATGCGAGGATATCAATGGGATGATCTGCAATTGAGATGAGACTCCACTCGCGACATATCACCTCGGCGATGGTACGGCGCTGAACCAGTGCGGTGGCTGCAAGGAGCGCTTGCGTGAGACCATACCGGACTGCAGTGTGAAGCCTGCGACCCTGTAATTCCTTCCAGGGCAAGTCGACCCGTTTTGCATTCTGCCGGAAATTCGAGATGTCGCAGCTGCGAAGCCAGGGCTTCACCACGGACTCGAGGACAGGGAGGTGTTCTTCAGCAATGAACAGGGAGTCACGGGATGCAGCGCCGGAAAAAATGACATCGACGCAGTCTCCTACTGCGACCTCGCCACATGGGAGATGTAGCATAATTGAGATAACCTGCCCCGCTTGTACGACGCTTCGGAAACCAGGTGTGCGTGGCGGGATGTTGTCACCTAAGGGATCATACGCTGGGCTCCGGCGAACTGCCTCGAGATCCTTGACAAAGTAGCCGGATAGACCAATGACGAATTGGACGTCTGTAGCCTTCATTTCTGCTTAATCAAGTAGATGATGTGAAAAAGGTACGGGCTACGGCAGGAGTGTACATGGCACTTATATAGTGCTTCGCGCTAACTCAGATAGACCGATGGACGGAGTTCAGGTCTTCGCTGCGCTTAATCCCCAACCAAGCAATGCTCTCGCTGCGGTTGATTAGAGTCGAAGATCTAATCCAACTTTGGAGAAAATACTTCGATCCACACGAAGAGGTTAAGCCTCATGCGCTAATCATGCAGGGTGCTTATATTACTGAGTTTTCGGTTACCTAGCGGGACTTTCTAGTGCTGATTAAATCCTCTGGTGACTGCTCTTTTTCAGTTCCTGCCTTGAATAACCAAAGATTTAGGAATAACCAGAAATGCCGCTTAAATTCGGTCTCAAACATACTTTGACTGGTTGGTTGAGTTGATCTGCCTCCGCATCACCAGCTATCACGGCGCTCCAACTCGTGGGAACCTCTAGAATTAAGTATATTCCTCCGTGATTAGTTGCAGTAAAGACGTCCCAACTGCACATCATGTTTTAACTCAGCCGGTAAGTGGGAATCTGCTTATTATGTTTGTGGTTGGGACTATTTATACGATATATACAGTATGAATTCAGAGTAAGTACATTAAAGCCGCCTGCCCTGCCATAGGCGCGACAAGGGTCAAGTTTCCACCAACCTCAGCTTCATCTCTCTCTTCCAGCCCTTCATCCCAAGTGTGATAAACACCACCCCGTTCCAAAACCCCCGCAGCGATCCCATTGCTCCGACAGCCAGCAGCAACGGATAGGAAACATGGTTCGGGTTTACGAGGGCGGATAACCGATTGATTGTAGGCGCAACCCATGTGGCCAGCAGGACAAGAAAAAAGACCATTGGCATGAGGATGTATTGTCTGAAGGATACGTTGGAATGCTTGGATCGTTTCTGCTCTGGGGTGACGTTGCGCGATGATTGGGGCTTTTGCTCGCACGGGGAAGGATAAACATGGGCGGCGGGCTGGGATTGGATGTCAATTTGGACGGTAACAGCGACGGAGTTTTGGGGCTGGTCAAAGGCCTGATTCGTGCTGGAAATGTTGGAAGAAAGAGCGATGTGGTCTGTACGGGAGAGATTGAACTGGTGCCGCAGTTTGATTACTTTGATGCCGACGAGGATGTAGAAAAGTAACACGCTCAGGATGAGGAACCTGGAAGGAGGGCCGAGTTAGCAAGTTCAAGTAGGGACTAATGGGGCCACTAGAAAAGAAGATATACCATATCGGTCCGTAGTAGAACACGACTCGGAAGACAACCCAATTGGGAGATATCGAACACCAGAGCTTTGAATGGTTAATATCAGAGATATGAAAGGAGAGACAAATGCTGACTTACAGTTACGCTACCATACATGGGTCCTTTCTCCGGTGTATGGATGAATAAAAAGACGATCGCTGGAATAGCTACAATGGATGTGATGATAGCAATATACCATGTCTCAAGCTTGCGCAAGGCCCGCACGTCGAATTGATAGTAGACGACCAGGAAAACGTCGCAGGCCATCGCCAGTGTCCAAAGGACATCTGCCATAGGAAACCTGTTCATAAAGTCAGAGCAGTTCTTCGTCTATCACCCCGTCCAACGAATGATAGAAAAAGGCTTATCTGGACATACATCTGGAGACAAAAGCCCTGAAACTGACACAAGGGCGAGCTGTTGCCTGCGGCGGGCCCACTTGTCGCGATCATCGTTGCAATAAAGTCAAACAAGTTATAAAATGCATTGATAAAGATCAGTCGGTGCATTGGATTGCGAAAATGCCGCGAAAAGGCGAATGTGCCGATGATCGTGACGACTCCCAAGATGGAGAGAATCGAAGCGACACGTTCGACAGTAGCCAAAGTGCGAAGTTGCGCTTCAGTGAGGGCCATGGCGGATGTGATAAGGACATATGGGACTTGAGCTCTTGAAGTACGCGGTCCTACAAAGTCATTGATCACATATCTGCCCAGCACGTTGCATATGGCACGCGAGTTTAGAGATGAAGCATTTTAATATCAGTTCCACGTGTTGAGAATAATCCAGCGCATGCCACTAGACCCTCGTGCTGTGTCTGACAGCACAATAATGCTGATGAGGAGGGGAAGTGCAGAATATACCATTCTCTGTATCTACTGGATAAGGTGAAATGGTAAATCGCACCGCGCTATGGCGTCATTTGTACCCGATTTGATGTATATACGACTTGTCCCGCTCTAGCCTTTTTGTTTGCTTTTTTGATTGCCCTCGCGTGGTTTTTCTGTTCAGAAGCGAGTCAATCAAATAATCATCGGTTGGGGAATGTCATTTGGACTCTAGTAGTTCCGCTCGCCTAAGACTCGAGAACCCGTGCGTGATCTCAAGTATCGGCCGCCATGAAATTGTGCCGAAAGCTTATCGAGCCTGCATCGCAGCAGCGCGAGGAGTCTGCTGAAACACTGCACGCTTTGACAAATACAGGGTTTAGAAGCGAGATTTGGACAGAGACGCGAGAAGCGAAACTTGCGCAGGAACCCCCAACATGATTTGAGATCCGTTACCCTGTACGCTGATCCTTGGCGGATTTCTTCACTATGGTTGGATAACACGGCTCAGCCTAACGTGAACCCTGTTCTAACGTCATTTATGGCGCTGCTTCTGTCATACTTCTGATCGAATCTGATTCAAAAGTCGGTCTTGGCAACCCCTGACATGATCCGTTATCTCGATCAACAAGCATTCAATGGCCTCTCCGTTCCGGCTGCAGCGGAACCCCAAAATTGTCGGAATCCATGGCAGCTCCGACGGTCATAGCGTCTAGATCTTATACACTCACGGTCCATATGGGTCATTATTGACCATCCAAGGCCAAGTAAACGCGACTGAAGAAACACAGACTAACACGGTACCCTCTAGCGTTGAATTCAGGGTCACTGCTTAGCTTTGATTCTATATAAATGGCCAGAATGGTGCATCCGCACAGGTCGGCCAAGATGAATTCAGGATCTTGTTCCTCCCATTCGTGTCGGTTTCCCGCCTGAGAACAACCGTTTTACCTATCATTAGCTGTCTGAAACATTGACATGTTCTAATGTACGCATATAGGTTTGTATCAAGAGGTATGCATCTTTAAAGCGACCCATGACACCCTGTCAGCAGACGTGGCGCTACAGTAACCTTTTTTTTTTTTTTTTTTTTTTTTTTTTTTTTTTTTTTTTTTAAATACCACATTCTGGAAAGGAGCCCTTCTATACACTGTAGAATGTATTCCTCTGTCAATTCTCACACTCGATGTTGGTCGTGCTCCTCATAGATCTTTGTTTTTGTTTAGGGTTGGGAATGTGGAGATTTGTGTAGCCCATACAGAGTGCCGTCTTGGCGCGGGGCCGCGAAGAAAATTTTCCCCTGGATCTGATGGAATATCCACTGCAAGAGCACCAAAATAGGGCCGGCTAAACATCATTTCAGATCTTCTCAATACTCCAAATACACCACATAGAGGGGATTTACGAAGCCAATACACGTCATAGCAATAGGAAATGAACCCCCTGCGGTATCTGGCCCCTCCCTGCCCCTTTGGGGACATCTCAAACTCCACCCCGGAGGAGATCGAGGGTAGAGAGTTATTTGCGAGTTGTCTCTTAAATAATTCACACATGAGCATGTCAGATTCAGACAGAGATGCCATCCGCGCATACAGAGATGCATGCCGCCGTCTTGATATCGGGGACAGCCAGACGCGCGAAAGCGACATGCAAGCCGTTAGAGAATACGAGCAATCGCTACAAACCAACGGACCAGCGAATCTTTGTTTTGACCTGGCTACCAGGACCAAGATGGGCGAAGAGCTCGATAACCTCCATGATATGTGGAACTATGTCCGTTATGAGAAGTACCTCCCCGCCACGGTCAAGGAAGATGCGGAAAAGCATCCCTCGTCTAAAGTCTCGGACCCCTGGCACAAGGCCTTCTGGAAGCCGTTCTATGGACGGCTCGAAGCCGAGGCAGATGCGTGGGCTCAAGTCATGTCGGGCAAAAACAACCTTAACGAATGTCCGACATACCTTCTGCTGGCCCTGTTGTGTGAACAGCAAACCATGGACTGGGATGAGACGATCGCGCTGATCAGATACTGCGCCGTCGAGGGTGTCGAACTCCCGAAAGCGGATTTTGTGGATTACTTGAAGGCCAAAGATGTTACTGGTCTCGCGAAGAGGCTGGACCTCGATGAAAACACCATCGCCTTGTCTACGGAGTATGTCATGGGCGTCGGCACGATGCTCCTCGCCTACTTCAGGATGCATCTCCCCGAGGCGCTGTATGAGTGTGATCTTGAACCGGAAAGATGGGTCCCTAAGAAGCGATTGCATGATTTGATGGCGCTTCAGGACGGATACGAGCAAGCAGTCCAGGAGTTAATCCGGGAGATTTTCTATGAGATGGTCCTCGGTGGATCTGACGATGATGACGAGGAGGGTTGGGACGATGATGATGATGATGATACGGATGAGGATGATATCATGGATGAGGCTGACTGATGGTGATGTTGACGTTTCTGCCTTGATGTCCTCTCTGCGTGGTTTATTGTCCTAATGGTTACAACGACAACCTACAAGGGCAATAGTGAGGCTGCGGAATATCAATGGGATCTGTCAGACTCGGGATGATTATGGACGGTTCATTTCTTTCAAAAATTTTCCTTATTTTTTCATGATTCCATGTCTTCTAAGACCATACGCGGGATGAAACCATGTCTGATACCCTCTGTTTAGAAAAAAGTATTCAGTTGCGCAGTCCCAAAACACCAATATTCTATGTGATACTTCTTGTGCATCGTCAGTTGTCGGTACTTCGCTGTGAATCGAAATCGCTACCACTGAGACAAGTACAGAATATGTCCAACCGCCTTATGTTGTCGGGGAACGAATTGGGTCTGGTGTCCCGCTAATATTCCACCCCATTCCTGTCAATTGTCAGACTGCAATTTGAATCTAGTCAAAATAACCTCTCATCCATTCATTAGTCCTTCGCAAAGGACAGTCTATATTTTTCATCAGAATGGCCGCCCTACCTCAGCAGAACGTCCGAGTGTCTATCCTAGAACCCCTCCCACCCATCATCACCCATAGATTGTATCTTCGACCTCTGGCCCACTCTGATGCAGAGGGTTTATTCGCCATCCGGTCAAGACCTGAAGTTGCCAGAACAAAGTATGTACCTACTTGTTGATCTCGTTCTATGATCAAAAGACTGACACCGATCGTAAGCTACCCCAAAACCCCTCATCGAACGGTCCAAGAGACATGGGAATGGATGGCCACGAAGATCTTTACTGCGGGCCCTGAGGGTGTCCTCGGCCGTCACTTTGCCTACGTGCTCATTGAACGCGCACAATGGGAGGATGAGTCTCAGCCACCAGCCGCCGACAAACGGGTGATTGGCTACATGAGTATCAATCAAGTATATCCCAGCCCTGAGATTGGGTATTCAATTCATCCTGATTACTGGAGCAAGGGGTATGCGACGGAAGCTTTGGACGGACTGCTGAAAACATGGTGGAACTTACCTCGCCAGCCTCAGTTGAATTCTGCAGAAGACGGAAGTGAGCCGACTGAAAAAGTCTTTGCCTTTTGCGAGAAGGATAACGCGGGCTCCAGTAAGGTATTGAGCAAATGTGGATTCAGGGTGATTAAGCAGGTTGTATATGACCAGGATGAATTGTTGCTGTGGGAGTTGGAAAGGCCGGTACTTAAGCACACATGTCCCTGAAGTATATCAGTCAAGGATCTCTGATCCCATATGATATCAAAAAAATATTCAAAGCAATTTCAATGTCAGAAACATGTTGTCATCACTACTCGCATATCCCCCGAAAGGCCCGCAGACCCCAAACCCCATCCCCAGATACAACCGGTGAGCGCTCTCAAACCTCCTGTCAGTCCCCGTCTCCAGGCTCAACGAGTGGTACTTCCTGTCCCTCCCTTCGGCAATGATATGCTTCAAAATAGCATTGGCAACACCTTTCCGCAAGTGTCCCTGCACCGTCCGCATCGATTTGATCTCTCCATGTGTTGGACTGAGTTCTTTCAAGGCGCCACAGCCTAACAGACTGTCGCCCTCCCAGGCGGTATACAAAGTAATTGACGGGTTTCGGAAAGCGGTTGGGTCCAGCGCAAATGATGTCTCAGGGCAACCTTGGCTTCGAAGCTCAGTGAAGTGGTGCTGGAGCAGATGCTGGACCTCTGGATGCTCAAGCGTATCGGATTTGATCAGCATTGTTGTTGTCGTTTCAATCTGTATTGTAGGATCTTTAGAAGAAATTCTGCTGCTAGAGTGGATGTAGGTAGTTGATGGGTATGGCTGTGGCAAGTTGTCGTCATCTAAGAAGATGTGTGCAGGAACCTGGATAATCAGGCTGGTTTCAGTGTATGGCAAAGCTGACACTTTGGAGTGTCAGGAGATACTGACATGTTTTCAATCTTTTGGCCCTTTCTTCGGGCCCTTATCTATGAGTCACAAAATTTGACAAATACGAGCACCCCTTGAATTCAATGATTGCTGCCCTAAAGAAGCCAAAGCTACTGGGTTGGCTACGCGGACTAACCTGACGAAAAGATTCTATCTCTCTAAGACGTTCCTAGAAGAAATAGACGGATGCTGTCTGATAGCAGTAGATAAGGATCTAACTTGAGGAAGGCATAAAGATACACTCTATGCCCAGCATCATAATCAGATATTAAGAACTCGAAAGATTAATTCACCACATTAAAATAGCATGATCAGGCATACGGGAGATATTCAAGGCGATCATTGGATAGTAAAGCCGCCATCAACTCTGATATCCGCACCATTAACCATGCCGCTCGAATCCTATACCCTCGATCAGCATCCACGTCACTTCGAATTTCTACGAGAGACCCACCTGACAAAGGAAGACAACAGCATCCGCAACCTCCTCAGGAAGCGCGAACCTGCCGGTGGGAATAGTCTTCAAAAAAGCCTCCCGCACCGACTCTTCCCCCAAGCCTTCTTCCCGAGAGCCGTCCACGCCACCGTCGGTGATACGGAGTTGGCAGTGATACCTCGTCCTCCCCATTCTGACGCCATACTGCGAGTCAATCCTAGCAACGCAGCCTTGGAAGCGCAGTATGCCCCATGTCGCGGCAGTGCCACATGCGCAGCTTGCGATGCAATGCTGACAATTCGGCCGGGGGAGAACGGATTCGGGTATGATTCTGCAGGCTTAGAGGCGGCAAAGTAGAGTCGCGCAAAGGCCTGCGAGCAGAGCATTGGGCCAAGGACGTTGGTGGTCAAATGTTTCATGGTCTCCTCTGGTGGAGTCTTCTCCATGTCACTGAGCGAGACATATCCGGCGGTGTTGATGAGAATGCTCGGCAAGGCCCCGTCGCTCTGGGTTGTTGGAGACGGTCTGGTCATTTCCCGCTCCAGGGCGCCAAAGGCAGAGTCGACTGATGATGGGGAAGTAATATCGCATTCATAGGTACGAATTGCGTCGCTGGAAATTTCTCCATAGCCGGATCGGAGAAGCCCCTCTCGCCAGGCAGCTTCGAAGGGGGCATAGAGGATGGCGAGGTGAGCGCCTTGTTTTCTGAGTTTCTTGCCTATGCTGGTACCCAGGCCACCTACACACCATATTCGCGTTAATATGCGTTGTTTTGGTTATCGAAGTGTCCATTGGTGTACCTAGACCTCCAGGGAGGATAGCTAATCTGCGAGCGAAAGCCATTGTGGTCAGGATATGCTGCGGACTTGTCAGTCGTAGTATACGCGTCGTCTAAAGGAATTGATTGAAATAACTCTTAACCTTCCAACGAAAGTTTTAACTCCTTTCTCCCGGCCATCGATTGTGACTCTTTTAGGCAATGAGTATCATGCTGGATCGGCCCATCCCCGATATGACGTCAGGCCGCGGGGAAGCCCTAATACATATCAACTAAATACAAGGGTGAAATGTGTGCCAAAATGCTCGAAAAGTATACGAGTTGGGTCTGTTCTCTATAGCTTAATTGATAGTCAACCCCACCACCGCGGCTTTCCTGGTTGTAGCTACTGCTGACTCACAAGCGGGGTAAAGCACTATCATTTCAGCGGGAAAAGGTGGCCACTGTACACTCAAGATACTCTAGACATAAAGCTTGGTACTAGTGGCAGAAGGTCACTAAACATCACTGACTATGCCTTCAAAAGCGCGCGTGCTCTTAGTCGGAACCGGAGGAATTGGTACCATTGCGGCACTCAACCTTGAGCGCGGAGGGTTAGCCGAAGTCACCTGTGTTCTACGGTCCAACTATGAAGCGGTCATAAGCAAAGGGATTGAAATTATCTCCTGTGAACACGGTCATATAAAAAACTGGCGGCCGACTGCAGGTTTGCAATCTTCTCTTTACAGAATGGCATGGCGTGGCTAACGGAGCAACTCCAGTTCTAAATGCGGTTCCTCTCATCCGTGACGAGGACAGCAGTACGTTCTTCGACTACATTGTCTGCACCACCAAGAACATCCCGGACGTCATACCCTCTATATGCGAGACAATCAGCCCCGCGGTGACGCCTGGCCATACAGTGATTGTTCTCATTCAGAATGGATTGAACATCGAAAAGCCATTCCTGTCGCGTTTCCCGCAGAATGTGATTCTCTCCGGCGTGAGCCGATGCGACGCTCATGAAATCGCCCACGGAGTGATCGAACAGAAAGAGGAAGATGACCTGCACATTGCCGCCTTTCGCAACCCGCTTCTCGATCAAGATACTCAACAAAAGGCCGCGCAGCAATTTGTGCATATCTATGGCGCGGGAGGCAAGACTAACGTGCGACATGAGCCAAACTGGGAGCGAGATCGCTGGAGCAAGCTGGTGTACAATGCGACCTTGAATCCCATCTGCGCGCTGACCAGGGTCAATACGGGCGATTTACAGACTGCGGGGAGTGCTCTTGATCGCTTGGTAATTCCTGCTATGAAGGAGGTAGTTGAAGTATCTAAGGCTGTGGGTATTGAGCTACCAGACGATATCATCGAGACGACGATTCGCAAGAATCCGATGGAGAGGAAGATTGCTCCTAGCATGCAAAAAGATATGGAAAAGGTATGTGCACACTTTGCCCCTCGATTAGCTCTGTGGACTCACAACCCTAGGGCAATTTACTGGAGCACGAGAATCTCATCGGCGAGGTGGTTCGCGAGGCACAGAAACAAGGCGTTTCCACACCTACCTTGTCTGTTCTGTACGAGCTCTGCTCCACTGTTCAGTGGAGGGTCGCCAATGAAAGAGGAATCAGAATATCGTAGACTCTATCTTTTCCTGGTCTGCATAATTGAGACAGAAATCTTCAGCCATATCCAAATTGAGGGGATTTTCATTTATTTTAGCGTCGACCATGCACTAGCAAAATGCCAAGCATGAGTCATTTTGGCTCATTCTGATCCATTATGATCCGTTCCGTGATGATCCGTGCATCGATGCAAGTTATGCTGAAGGAATTCATCAAGAATAAAGAAAAGATGGTTGAAGTGATATATATATATATATATTGTAGACTCTGCAGACTTGCACCATCATCAACCTAAATCACACCATCTCATCTCCTATTGGTCATTGAAGCTGGTTCTTCTAGATCAATCCGTCAAAATTCATCTACTACGGAGTGCACAGTCCACATCTTATCAAATCACCAATAATGGAGTCCAATTCCAAGCCTACTATTCTCTTCTACGATATTGCCTCGGCTCCCCAGTCACTTGCTATGCGCCCAATCCCTGGAAAACAAGGTACGTCGCATTCATTGACGATAAGCACGTAAACTAAGACGCAACAGATACGCCCTCAACTTTAAACAAGCCCACTATCGAACAGAATGGGTAGAACTGCCTGACGTACCCACCGTGCGCAAGAGACTTGGCCTCCCAGCCAACAGAGTCCTCCCCGACGGCAGTCCCTTCCACACCCTTCCGATCATCAGAAGCAGCTCCACTGGCGAGCTTGTGGGTGATTCTTTTGAGATTGCGCAGTACCTTGACAGACTCTACCCCGAGGGGCCGAGATTACTCCCTCCTTCGACTGTGGGCCTGATCTCCGCGTTCAATTCTCAGGTCGATGCTGTCTTCACTCAGCATTGCGTGCTCTGTGTTCAGGGGATGCCGTACAACCCCGCAACAGCGGAGGAGTCGAAAGCGACGTTTGCCAAGCGAGCGGGCAAGGAGCGCTATGAGGATCTGATGATCACAGGCGAGGCAAGGGCGGGCATGCTCGAGAGCTTCCAGAATGCGCTGGGAGAGCTAGCAAAGGCCTACCGACGGACGGAGGGTCCGTTTCTCGATGGCGATATGCCTACATATGCCGATTTCATTGTAGGTAGCTGGTTGAAGTTTTACAAGAAGACGATAGAGGAGTGGGAGCAGTTGTTCAGTTGGCATGATGGGTTATGGGGAGAGTTACATCGTGCATTGGAAAAGTATGCAGAGGTCAAATAGGTATTAAATGTCTATATCAGATCCATAAGTTCGTCATCGCTTCATCATCAGAAGTTAGACGGCATTAGTGATGTCTGGGTGGAAGAGGAGGAGCTGGAAGCTCGGGATGATCTGGCGCGGTAGCAATGACTGGCTGTTGCTGCTGCTCAGGATGGTCAGGATGGTCGTCGTCGTCAGGAATCCCCTAAAAAAATCAGTTAGTCGAATGAACATGCGCGAGCTCTAGGTCAGCTCACATTGAGCAGATACTCCACGGCGCGATCGGGGTTGAACGACGCCGCTCTCATGGCCCGATCGATATCGATTCTAGCAAACCCCATGCTCTCCATCTGTGCAACGACGGCCTCGTCGCTCTGGACACCGTGGCCGGGTACGGAACGGTCGTGAAAAGGAGTAGATGTTTCGGTAGCCTTCTGCGTCGGAGCGACCAATGCGCCGTGTGCCATCAGATTTGAATTTGCCAGTTCCTCGGGCGCGAAATCACTTGGACTCGGTCCTGTCGGTACAGCAACTCCAGACGGAGTCTGATCAAACTGCTTGTCGCCCTGCGCCGAATGAAGAGTATGCGTCAACATCTGGAGAGACGCGTTCTCCGTCCGGACGTGACCAGCCATGATCTCCTTGACAGGCACCTTGCGACCATAAAACCGCTCATTCTCGTCGTTGCGCTCAATGAGAATCGTCCCGTCAATCTGCGCCCCGGCATAGAAGCCGCGACTCTTGACGTACGACCAGATGGGAGCCTGTCGTTTGTGCACCTCCGACTCCAGCGCCCCTCCCATGCCCACGGGCCCAGCTGCGACGGAGATCTCGCTTCCCAGCGTCACTCGCACTTTGGTGAACGCTTCCAGCGCCTCATACGTATTGATGACCATGACGCAGTCGTAGATGTCTATGCCAGCCAGGAACCCAAGGCCAGCGGTATGCAACAATATCCCTGACGGCGCACTCCATTCACCCGTCTCAGGTACGCGAGCAATGAGGATCCCACTCCCACCAGCACCGCTGAACCACAGTCCCGTCCTCATGGCTGTGAAGATGGCGATCCCCTTTGCCTGGCGGATCACCTCCGCAGGAATCTTCTGCAGAACCTTGGGTTTACCCCGTGGTTTGTCGATTTTCGCGTCGGGTGTCTGTTCCCGGCTTGCCACGGTCGCATCCTCGGCAACGTATACCCCTTCCTTGCAGAAACTGCGCAGGACCCGAGCGGCCTTTTCACTTTCTTTGTCCAGCGTCATGGGCCAGAAGGCTTCAGACCCGAGTTTGTTGCTTAGCCGGTTCACGGGGGCGCCGACTTTATCGAGGGCGTCCCAGGCTTTGTCGAAGCCTTTTTTGCCGCAGATCCATGCTTTGTTTTGTGTTAGCGACTTTTTGGTCCCAGGGCTTGAAGGATATGGGGATGCAGTTTTGGTATTATCTGCTTTCGAGGACATTTTGGATTGAGCTGGATGGTGTTGATATGTCTTTGCCCGAGGAACGGACAATTATATAGAGTGATGCCGATCAGTGGCACCAGGCAGAAGGATAAAGCCATCGACATTCATCAGCGGCTGCATAGAACAGACATGGGTGTGATAGCACACAAGCAATAATAAGCGTGGCGAGCCAACCCACTTGCCCCAATGATGCGTGATGATTCGGTGCGAGACGCTATGGCTGTGCTGGCGATCGCGGGGCATCGCCTCAATACGTTCATTTCAGGCAGAAGGCAATCAACAATAGATCACCTAGTCAGTTACCCAGTCACTGTCCTTTTCTTTATCCTCTGATTCAAGGCAATGATATAAATCTCCTTGGTTGCTGATGGTGATGCGTCTATTACTGTGATATATAAATAGCTTACATCTTAAGAATCCGGATAGGCTTCATTTCCTTCCCTCTTGCCTCGGGTTGATAACTTCGAAGTGCCTTACGTACACGCCACAAAATCAGAACTTAGATATATAAACTCTCTAAGTTATACCTAGTCCTATACTATATATACTCCTAGCAAATATGGAAAAATATGCTCGTACTCGGATACGAACGAGGTCTCATCATGAATACACAAAGAACAAAAAGAAATGCTCACAAGCGGATTTGAACCGCTGACCTCATGATTACTAGTCATGCGCTCTACCAACTGAGCTATGCGAGCTCGTTGAGGGAAAAAGTCAACGCTTTTGTTTTATTAACCAAAATAAAGAGAAGCCAAAGATATGTCCGGTGGGTACCATAGAGATCATGAGTCCATGTCGAAACAATGGGGCATGGCATGAGCCCCGTATTCGTATTGCCTACTTGAAACGGACTATACTCTCCTGTATATCAAACGTCTAGAACTCGGCTATTCTCCGTACTGGCTATTTATGGTCTCTGTCCGTATATACCATTGTCCCCCCATTCTGAACTCCACCTCATTATCCGAACATGCTAGCCACGTGCGATCGTAATGAGATATCCTGCCAAATCATGGCACTGCTAGAATATCGTGTCTTTAAATATTTGGTGCATGACCGTTTCTCGATAAGCAGAGTATGTCCGGCAGGTTCTCCAGGTCACGCACACTTCAGCTGAGACAGTTGCGTAATAGTTCCCACATTGCGGAGTAACAGACCACAGAGTGCAGTAGAATAATACTGGATGACTGCAACGCCTATTGGCATTGGTGTGAAAATGAGCACCAACTGAAGAATTTCCGTGTCTCACCCCTCTGTCAATTTTGAGCTTAAACAAGCCAAGTTCGCAAGCCAAGTGAGTGATGGAGAATCTACATCGACGGCTTGTTTCAGGACGATTTGCCGGAGTCTCACTCGCTCTCGAATAGATTGCAATATGGGATCCTTTGCCCCCTGACGCAGTCGTAGAACATTTAAAGTCCAATTCCTGCACGTCAATGGAATGCCATCAAGAACAAATATTTCAGTGCTTAGGTTGAGTCTCTTCGTACCATCAAAATGAAGCTCGTTCTCGGTCTCCTACTCCCTGCCCTGGGCCTATCTTCCTCCGTCAAACGTGAAGATACATGGGGTGGCAGCGTCTCTCTCGGCCCTACCAAATCCACCATCGTCAACGCCGTCACCACCCTCATCCCCGGTGCGGCGCCTGCAACTCAAAGCGGCGAGCTCTTCCTCTGGCCTGGGATGAGCAACGGCACAGGCGATCTCGTCCAAACCACGCTGGAAAGCTGGCCCAGCAATGACTGGTGCGGTGCAACGACGGGCCAATGGTGTGTAAGGGCCAGTCTGTTCGGTAGTTTTGGACAGCTGGATGGGGATGCCAGTCCAGTGAGCGGGACGGATCAGGTTCGCATCGAGTATACTTTGTTGGATGATCAGGACACCTGGGTGCAGTATGTATATCGCACTGACGGTACGGATGTTGGCTAATTGGGATAGGAATGTTACCAATGCGCAGACGGGTAAGGTCCTGTCGACCTTCTCGCACAAGTCTGGACCTTATATGACAGGGTGAGTTGTTTGCTCCCACAATCACAGATGATGCTAATTGAGTAGATATGGCACTGGAACTGAGTGTAACGGTGGCTGCACGGGCACTGTCGCAGAGCAAAAATACCTCAACACGAAGATCACTCTGGCCTCGGCCGACACTACATTTGGCAACACCATTGCTTCGGCTGCCGGTGCGACGTACTCTGGCTTGAGCTCGAGCGAGGGAGGAAAGGTGTGGACGATCGAGAGCATCACCATTCCCGCCATGTCGAGTTCGTAGAGTGAAGGTGTATAGCTCACCTATCTCGCCTAGTGCACCTCATTCAGCACAAAGTCCGTTCTTTTTCCTTTCTAGATAGTATTAAGTATCATCAGTTATTAACCCTTCCTTTTCAGAGTAGACAGCTTTTGCGCGGGCAAATGAAGCGCTATCTAAGAGCAAGATATATATCAATGTATACATCCGAAAAACCTATTTACCCATCGAATATCTATATACAGTCGAAGCCCAAATAACTCAACCACTGTAATCAACGTCAACCACCAACCTCACCGCGCCAGCACTCACACTACCTCCGATACCATCCACAGACGCCTCCGCCGCCGTGTACGCATTCACCACCTTGGCGGCATTAGTCGTGATATACGAGCAATCAGCCCCCTTGTGATTACAGATTCTCATCCCCTGCACCGTCAGACCCGCATTCTGCGCCTGGATGGCAGACACGTCCCACCCAGACCACTTAGCGTTGCCGGTATTCCCAAAATCAAACTCGCCCCAGGTACAGGCATACCCGCCGTACTCATCCGTCGGCAGCGAGTTGCCCGCAGCGGCACCCCATCCACCCTGCGAGTTCTCATCAAAGGCAACGTATCTGGTCTGGCCAGCCGCAAGGGTGAAGTTGAGCGCTGAGTGACCGTACCACCCGTCCATCTTGCCATCGGGGCCTATCTTGTTCCAGAACGAGACGAACCAGTTGCTGGTGTTGCTGCCCGTGAATTTCACGACGTACTTGTACTGCGAGGCTGTGGAGGCGGTCACCTCGATGATGTTGCTGCCCCAGGGGCTGCCGACGTTGCCGACGTACTCGATCCCTGAGCCGGAGGAGCTGGTGCGTTGGCCAAAACCAGAGGTGGAGTACACGCCATTGGAAGGGGTGGAGGTCCAGCTGACGCTGTTGCCGGAGCTGCTGGTCGCCGCAGACACTGTGGCGCTGCTGGTGCTAGTGCTAAACGTAGTCGCTGTGCTGGTGGAGACCGAAAGAACATCCAGAAGGTTCACAGCGACGTCGAGGTTGACGCTTGCGAGCGTCTGCCTGTCAGCAGTGGAAGCCTCTGCGGCTGCCACGGTGGTAGTTGGCTTGTGGGCGGGAGGGAGTTGCGTGATAGTGGTGTACATGGTGACGACCTCGAGGTTGACGATAGTCTTGGTGCTGACCGCAGGGTTGGCCTGGGCGTCAACCTCTCTAGCCTTCAATTCTGCATTATGAGCAAGACGGTGACGACGATGAGCATGCTCGTGTGCATGATGCGCTCCAGCCATGGCCGAGCCAGCGGTGATGGCTGTCAAAAAGAATGACTCCCACTTCATGACGAATGGGTGAATCTAGTTCTGCTTATAACAAACGAGTGACTAATAATTGATGGATTCAGCACAAACAATGAGAGAGTGGCAGCGATGGTAACCCCGTGGAAAAGAGTGTTGACTTGCGATATATGAATGAATGACTGTCGGATGAAGACTCCTGAATCTCGTCAAGTGGGACCAGTGCCAACGAGCAAAGATGTGAGCGACTATAGACAAGACGTATGGCCAAGAGAGTTATCGTCAGCGCTCGAGAAAGCCGACATATTGGACAGATGCTTGTCTAGTCAATTGGTATTCATCAAGAGTCCACACGGGTCAAGCCCTATGGATGGTTGATCTGTCGAGCGAACAGAATTACAGAATATGAAACGGACTGCCCCATCCCATCCAGAGCCTGGTCCAGAGGACCAACTAGCTGAATTGATATAGTCTGCGCTGTTCTAGATCTAGGCTTTGTTGATTGTTGATAGTCATGGAACCAAATACCATCCCTACTTAAGCGGGGCCCCTCCTTGCGTCGTCAACATTCTCAGCCACTCAGAACTAAGACATGCGCAATGGAACAAGAAAAAGATCTTGAATATTCCATGTGGGTATGCAGTAAGACTGCCCTGATTCGTGGCTGGTATCTATACGACAGCGTTGCCATGTATTGTCTTGCAGTGGCATCTCCGGGCGCGACCTTATGGCAGGACGGTGGGATTTCCAAGTCGTCAAAAATCCGATCAAAGGCCTAGATTTTACGAATTATATCATTTTGGCTCTGGGCAGAATTGCAATCGACAGTGTTGCCCTCATATTCCTCCTTCTCCCTCCACCTATGGCACCTTTAATATGAAAGTGCGCTTCATATAGCACCTTACACATGCTTTCAACAACCCAAAAGAACATCTTTTGTTCGGCTTGTACTCTCCTTAGTGCACCGAGTATGAATTGTCACGCCTTAAGCATACAATAATGAGGGATGAAAATTGTCTGATTTCCTCTTTGAGGAAATGGGAGTGGATCCCATTGACTTACGTATACAACGGCTCTAATGAACGCCTTTTCGACCCGCTAACAGCAGCCACTGGCTTGAGGCAAAACTCTAGATCGGGATGACGAATGCTTGATACTATTGACTATTTTAGTCCATCTTCAGGCAAACACGTTGCTAATGCTGTGGAAAATAAATCAGTATTGAGAAGGGTTGCTCTTGAAATACATAGGTATTGAGAAGGGTTGCTCTTGAAATACATAGGTATTGAGAAGGGTTGCTCTTGAAATACATAGGCTCAGTACGCTGGTGAATCAAGTTGATTTCGAACATAGCCATAGCGTCGCATCATGGACTGCTTTTACCAAGTGAGAATCCTCATATGGCTAAATAAATAGCATTCCATACCCGGGATATCAATTGAATTGGCACGTCAGTTCAGAACTAGCCGCTGTAAGTCTGAAGATCCGGCCCAGTGTCCGAAGCCGCGTATCTGCATACGTACGCGTTTCAATTGCGGATTTACTTAGACGACTAGATAACTTACTATGCTAATTTCAGTATCTCATGTTCGAGGCGCCCGTGCCCAGCATCATATGCATCAGGTTCTCATACACTGCGTGCTGCTAGAAGGTTTAAAATAACCAAATGACAGCATAGCTTGGATTAAATATGGCCACTCACGTGAATATCTTATGCCGGATGTTTGATTCCCATAGAGAAGGCCGCTATAGACAGGTAAGATGCGGTCCTTCGGCAGACCGTACGTTGCTGTAGCTGACAAGGAGTAATACTCCATTGTCGAGTTAATCTAACCTAGAAGATTAGCGCAACAATGGCTCATAACAATGTGAGTGCGGTATTGTTCTTGATTCTAGCCGAGAGAAGGATAAATCAGGCTAGCCATCACCCCACAACCACAAGTCAGCCGGTAACTCCTCGTCCTCTGCCCCAGGAACCAAGCGGTTCGCGTTCAGCTCATCTGTCGCCGAGAGCATATGATTCAAGGATAGACCAAAATCCCGCCAGTCGAAAAGGAGCTCCTCCTCCTGTGCCACTGTGACTGGGATTGCCGAAGTCGGAGCGGGACCTTCTGCATCCGGACCCAGTCCGTGGTGCTGCTCTTGAGCCACAGAGCTTCGTTCATTAGTTGACTCAATGAGAGGATTTCCCGCGTCCTCTTCACGGTGGGGGTTCTCTGGCCGTATAAGTGGTTGCACCAACTCTTCGAGAAGCTCAATCTCCGATTTGCGAAGTTGCGCGACTCGGTTTCCACGTGCGATCATCTCATCCAACAGACTGAAGCCCATATCGCGGTAGCTGTGGTCCGGTAGTGTGCCTGGCAAGACGGCGGAGATTAAGCAGAGGATAAAGAAGGACGAGAAGAGGTTCTCGAGGTCGAAGGGGAGAAAGCTTTCTGTCTTGTCGTTAGGGTACGCATCAGACTGGGGAATTAGGACTAACCAAGGAGATTCTGGTCTCGCAGGGCTGTCAGGATCTTCAATGATCTGAGTGCGGAATCGATACACGCTTGGATCAAGGTTCGAACGGGAGAGGATAGACTTCGGAAGACGTCGCCCTCCTGGAAGCAGCTTAGTCGTTCCCAGAGCAGACTCAGAATGAGTGGCCGAGCGGTGACGATAATGCACTATTTCCATGAGCCACCTGGGCATGATTAAAGGAATAACACGCACCGAATGACATGAAAGTGTCAACCGAGTGGTCACACCGGAAAGAGCATCCACCGAACTCGAAAATCGATGAGCGAAAACCTCCTCCAATTCCCGCGACAGGTCGGTCATCTCGTGCAGTATGGAGCGAATGCCATGAAGGAAGGCACCACCCAACTTCCCGTTTGCACTGTACACCGCTGTGGTAATGTCAGCCTGTTCTTACCAGGCTGTCAGTCACTTACTATTCAACACCCGCGTGATAACCTGCGTGATCTTGACATGAAGGCTCAAAGCGGCGGTCTCCTGGGAACAGCTCTTCGGGTCCCACAGGACGGTGGTTACATCCTCGTCATTCACCGAAGTCGGCGACCCGATCAACGAAGAGAACTTGCGGTCGAGAATGTATACCGTCCACCAGATCTTGGTACACCGCTCGACGCGCTTCTGACCAAGTTGCTCGACTGGAAGAGCACGATGCAACCCTTCCACCAGAGCCATACGCATGGCGTGACCGATCTGCGCTCGTCAGTCGTCGCCTTTTACCGATCTTGAAATGGCAAAGGCATACATAGCAATAGGCCGAGTCCCGCATATCCACCGAGTGAAGGTACAGCGCAATCAGCGCCAGGACCTCAATGGCTAGCAGTGGATCCTGCCAAAGCGCCGTGGTATCCGGTAATAGTGACATCGCTCTGGAGAAGTACTTTGTCCATGATGCAGTATTTGATGCCCTTCGCACAGGCGCCAACAGTGCCTCTCCAAACGCCAACACGACGAGAAACTGCACGTACCACAGCCTGGACTCCTGGACCTTTGCGGATGCATTATGATAGAACTCGTCCAAGTTACGGGCGAAGTCCTCCTCATCAATGAGCTGATACAGATGGCCGAAATGGAAACGGACCGTGTTGAGCATGTAAATTGCTTGATCGCGAGAAGAGAGTCCGCTTATGTCGGGGATCTCCTCCGACCTGGCCTGTCGCCAGTGAATCTGATATGCATCGCCGTCGACGGCAAGAGGGATTGGCTTAGTGCTTGCAGGGTTAAGACGGGTCTGGATTGTGCTCAGGACCCGACGACTGAACGACCATGTCGAGGTTGGACCGAGAAGTACTGATAGTCAACCATTAGCGAGGTTCTTACTTCTAGATCAATAAAGCATACACCAAGCCCGTTGTGTGCGCCCGCTGTTTTTCACGTAGGTGGACGGTGATACCAAGGGATTGGCGGCGAATCGTTCATCATGTCGATTCAACTCCTGTTGCTCAGGCGTAGCGAGTCCGCATGGTTCTGACACTGACTGCGGCGCTTCTTTTGAACTGATAGACTCTGAATTACTGGCATGACTCTGTACGACGCGAGGCCGCTTTGACGGAGTCGATGTAAGCGAGCCTTCTAGTTCGCTTACTTTTCTCTTGAGCGAAAGGAACAACCTCCATGACCGTTAGAACAACATCTTATGCCGGTCTTCCTCGACATACTCTTCAGAAACTACGATCTTCCGATCTTCCTCAAACACACAGTCTTGCTGCCGATTGCGACACTTGTCACACGGCTGCGTGCCGGAACATTTGACCTTGCGAGCTCGGCATCGCTGACACCTGTGGCAGTCAGTCGGGCGCTCGGCCGGGACGGTGGTCCACGTACGCGTTGGAAGTTCTCTTGGAACGAGCTGAGTGGTCCATCCGTTCTCATTCAGTCGGACTATTGTACACTAACCTTTATTATTGTTATAGCATGTTCTTGATGCTGTTGTTGGCATTTACCTTAGTCACCAACCCCGCAGATAGTTAACTTAGAGAGGGACAGGCAGCATCTGATTGGTCAGTAACTTGGTATGCCATCATGCCTGTATTAAGAAGTCGAGTATCTTGGACATCATTGCGACGATAATATGAGGCTGGGAAGATTTTCCTTACAGTGTCGAGTTATGACTCTTCACAGTATTATCTCAGTGAATTCCCTAGTGACTCTGCTGTCTGAAATAGAATCACCAATTCCCAGGCTGAAACAGCTGTTGCTCCATCAAGCTCACCAAGCCAGCCACATTCAGATGCGCCATGGTGTATCAGATAGCATTACGTAGTAGCTGTTTCTCCATTATTGATTGTAAGATGCTGCTTCGCGCTTCGTACTAACCTGACCCAGCGGTTATTGCCTGTCATTGATTCATCGGGATGGCGCGACTGACGGTACTACTTCATGCTTGCCCATTTTTGAGTCTGTTTGTTCTTAGTTTGGATCTGGTTAGTCACCGCAGACGAGCTGGTAAAGAGATCTCTATGTCTCGACCTCAGGAACGGTTTACACCCTCGCATCGCTTAAGCATGGGTGTTGCACTGTCTGCCACAGTGTGAGGCATGGACATGGTTCTTGCAACCATCGGGGCTACGTATTTTTTTCAACAGTTGCTCTTTTCGTTGAGATGATTACTCCAGAGTGATCAGTCTCGTTACACTCCTTCTAGGAAGCTATTATCGAGACGTCCAGGATGGGACGTCAATGCCAGTGTCACTGGCCCTTATCTTTACGTTTGAGCGTATTATTATCGATATTACTACTGCCCCTCCGAGCGACCGCACTCGTTCTCAACGTCACAGATTCAGGTGAGCTCTACAAAAGCAGTGCTCCCTCCGAACGGACCTAATCGCCCCGCAGAAAATATCAAAGAGGTAGCCAGTCAACTAGCCTGGGACCTCGTCAGCTTCTACACGGGCAACAACACTGGC